CCAAGGAAATAAGCTTCTTGTCTTTTGAAGAACCTGTGGGGATCAGTTTAGCCCTTTCTGCTCTTTCCTGTTCTTTGGTCACCATTCTAGTCCTCTTAACATTTGTGAGGAACCACAACACTCCCATTGTCAAAGCAAATAACAGGGACCTCACTTATACTCTCCTCCTCTCCCTCCTGCTCTGCTTCCTTTCTGCACTGCTATTCATTGGACAGCCTCAGAAGGTGACCTGTCTCCTCCGACAAACTGCTTTTGGCATCATCTTCTCAGTGGCTGTTTCTTGTGTGCTGGCAAAAACCCTCACTGTGGTTCTGGCTTTCATGGCCACCAAGCCAGGATCCAGAATGAGGAAATGGGTGGGAAAGAGGCTGGCCAATTCAATTGTACTTTCTTGTTCCCTTTTACAAGGAGGCATTTGCATTGTGTGGCTGGCAATCTCTCCCCCGTTGCCAGAGGCTGATATACACTCAATGGCTGAACAAATTACACTTGGATGTAATGAGGGGTCTGTGACTATGTTTTATTGTGTCCTTGGCTTTATTGGCTTCCTGGCCATTGCTAGCTTCACTTTGGCCTTCCTTGCTAGGAAGTTACCCGACACATTCAATGAAGCCAAGTTTATCACTTTTAGCATGTTAGTGTTTTGCAGTGTGTGGTTATCCTTTGTTCCAACCTACTTGAGCACTAAGGGGAAATACATGGTAGCTGTGGAGATCTTTTCTATCTTAGCCTCCAGTGCTGGATTGTTGGTCTGTCTCTTTTCTCCCAAATGTTACATTATTTTGTTGAAACCTGAACTGAACAAAAGGGAACAGCTAATACGAAGAACTGACTGAAGAATTATGTGATTGTGTCTCCCTATCTAGTTAGTAAAGTACAATTATGCTAATTATAAACTGACTCTTAATTTCATAAAAGTTTAGGGTGGGTTTTCATTCTACAGTACACACTTCTAAGATTTTAGCTCTCAGGTGGTTAAGAGCAGAATGGTTCCATAACATTATTATTTTCAAAAATAAGACAATCCCCCCAAACTCTGAAGTCATGGCTGCAATGTGAGCATGTCACCTGGGAGTAAGCCTCATCCCATTCATTGGGATACTTAAATGTGAGTAGACATGGTTAGAAGTGCTCTGCCAAAAAGTCCATTCTAAGCATGAACCTGATCTATCAGATTCTAATATGCCTATATTTCTTAGTTTCTTTGTTTTGTTCATGAAAAGGTACAGCCTTTAGTCATGATAGATCAGGGCTGTTAGGGATGTGGAAATTTCTTGTCAGGCAAAGATACCATTGACATCACATATGGAGTGAATTTCATAATAGGGCCAAGTCTAGGTCTTTTTTGGGTGATGGCCTTTTTCTACTGTTCTTGGATGCCTATACATTTCTGAAGCTTTATCCATAGCTTTAATATTCCTGGAAGTATCTGATCATTAGTCCAAAAATGTACCTTTCTGAAAATTCACTTTTGCAAGGAACTCTACTCAAGTAGAGAACAAGTAGTTCAATAAGACTGACTTTATTAATCTTTTTTACAAGCCTGTGTTGGTTGTGTAATCGAAGCCTTCTGCTTTCCTATAATTTCCATCATGTTTTCTTAATAAAAGATGCCAAGTTTTACCTGTCAATTTATATAGTCCGGTCTTCTCTGTGTGCCAATGAAGGTTGATTGGTTGATTGAACAAAAGTCTTTATACATTGATGTTTGGTTTCCTTAGTTTTGAAAGGCAATTCAGCTGAATTTCTCACTACTACCCTTCTGGTTCTATGATCATATAGCAAAGTGACAGAGTTCTATAAGATAAGGGTTTGGGGTTTGTGGATAGTATATTCAGAACTTCTCTCATGGTTTATATTACCTGTCTCAACTACATTAGGCTTGGAGTGGGAAGTCCAGAAAATGGGGTTTAAGTATCATTAATACACCTGGACAGATTTATGTGAGGTAAAGCATCATCCTAATTGATAGCAACCTATCAATACCCTTGGGGTGTGAATACTTATACTAATAAATATTAAAGAAAATCTCAGGCATTTAAAAGCATAAGTGTGCATTCCTAGTCAGAAAAGTGGAAAAGAAAACTTCTATTCAGATGTGATAAACATGTTTTTGTTTGCAATTCCACAGGGAATTCCGACATTTGAGTTCATATCATACTCCCATTCATTTATATAGTCTATAATTAAATTCTAAAATATACTGTACAATTACCATTTCCCCTTAGAGAACTAATCTGAGGATGGCACAAAGATGCCCTCTAGCAATCACAGGTATGATGAGGGACTAGGAACAAGCATGGACACACCAGTCTTATCACTTTACTTATATTTCATAACTTGGACTCAGATAGATTCAGTCTATCATCAGATTGACTGAGCATTCAATCAGGTCACGATAATGACAGAGTACATCCTGATAATGATGCAGGTGGAATCATGAGTTAGAGTGAAGGGTGGTGTTCAGTATGATGGTATTAGTTGTCTTCCTGCTAATACTGTATTCTCATATTGCATGTGAAGACCACCTTATTAAAAGCAGGATCCATGCTCCACACCTTCCACTTCAAAAATACTGTCAGGCAGGCAGAATCATAATTGGTGGGATTGTTTCTCACAGTTTCATCGTTGCTAATTCAATAGCCTTCACAACCAAACCTCCAGCAACTTCATTTGAAGATCTTACGTAAGGAACTAATCTTTTCTAACTTTGCATACTGTCTCCTCTTACACTTCTGTTGTTCTTTCCTTTCTTTCTGAATTTTTTGTTACTTGGCTTGAAACAGAGCAGTGTTTTTGTGTTGTTGTTGTTTTCATTTTATTTACTTTCATGAATCTTTCCATTTTGAGAGTTACCATAACTATCTGAATGCATGCCTTTTGCACTGTATTAAAATGGGCTGAATTTTTCCTTCTTTTTTCCTTGCAAGAGTGTGTTTCTTTGAAAGAAAATTCATATCACGTTCAGTGGCTATCATTATGAACGTGCATAGAATAGGGTTAGAATATGTGTCTGATTTTAGTTGTAACTCTTGTTCTAGTGTGGTGCCCAAAAATTACCAGCACATCCTGGCCTTGGTATTTGCAGTACTGGAGATAAATGAAAACCCTCAGCTATTACCAAATGTCACCTTGGGCGTCTGCATCTATGACAGCTATTTCAATGCTCAGAGGACTTATCATGCTACTATACTACTTACCTCCACATTAGAGGTATTTGTCCCTAACTACTTATGTGACACCCAAAAACATTTGATAGCAGTCATTGGAGGACTGGATTCGGATATCTCTCTTCATGTGGCCACTGTATTGGATATCTACAAAATTCCACAGGTAAGGGATATGTGTATATGAGTAGTATAAATGATAGTGGTAAGATGAACTAAGCAGCTAGAGACCACAGCAGCTATTTTTCAAATTCATTGAGAATATTTCCAAGAAGACAGAATCAGACCAATTTGACAGTCAATATGTATTTATTGATTTGATTTGATTTGATTTGATTTGATTTGATTTCTATCCCAACACTCCTCCAAAAGGAGCCCGAAGTGGCAAATGTAAAAATGTAAAAATAATATGTTAAAATAAAATAGAAACATAGTTAAAACATTTTTAAACCACCTTGGGGAACATGTATATTTGAATATCACGATGTATCTTAAAAGAGTTTTGTCATAACTGCTCCAACTGGCTATAATACCTGTGATTATTACATTTGGGGAATGCTTCATCTTTCCCACTGATACTTCAAGGTAGATGCTGGCCAGGGAGACAAAGAGCTGGAGCGCAAAAATTCTTGACTTGTCAGGTCAGACGTGGTAATTGTACACAGGGGCCAGGGAACTGGCTCTTAAAAGAACAGTAGTGGTATGAAAGAGCCACTTGAGAATTGGTGAATATTATTGGGATTTCAGCTATAGAAAGGCAAGGGAAATAGGAGGACAGCCCACAAAAAAAGGGGGAAGTTGATACTGAGTAAATTCCTAGAATTGTCGTGAAGAAATGAGGGAATGATGTAACAATATAATTTCAAATAAGTAAAGCATTTACTAAAAACCAAGTAAGAGAATTCCTCTAAAAAACAGCCTCAGTGCAATACCTTTGAAACAAAACAGAAGGTGTGCATCCCATTAAACTTCCAAATTTATTTTCAGAAAGGCTGTGTGTCCTTAGAACATGGCAGAAGCTAAGCAACAAAGATGCTAAATGCATCTTTGTGGGGAGGGTGTTGCATAATTTAGGCACTGCAAAGAGAAATCCCTCTCTCAGGTCATCACTCTCAGCACTCCGGAGTTGGGAGGAACTATGAAAACATAAAAGTGATACGTAATTATAATAATAATTTTCATTCACATCTCCCCTTTCATCTTCAGCTAACATTCAGTCCTGCACCAGTGATGAATGATAAAACCCCAGGCCTTTCCTTCTACCAGATGGTCCCCCAAGAAGCCCTTCAAGATGAGGGCATTCTCTCTCTGCTTCTGCATTTTGGGTGGACGTGGATTGGGGTCATTGTTATGGATAATGATAATGGAGAAAGATTTGTGCAAACTGTGCTTCCAGTCTTTTCCCAGAAGGGTGTTTGTTTTGCCTTCATAGAGAGAATCCCCACACTTTCTTTTGTCACTGAATTTATGGACATCATAGAAGATGGGGTCAAAATACATGATAGTATGCTGGGCAGTAAAGCAAATGTAATAGTGATCTATGGGGAATCTTATTCCATGTCATTTTTTAGATGGCTTCCGGTTTTATCTGTTGAAAATAAATTAGGGGGGAAAGTTTGGATAGCAACAGCCCAGGTGGAGATCAGTGCATTTCACTATCAAAGGCACTGGGATGTAGAACTATTCCATGGTGCTATAGCTTTCAGATATCAGTTCAGTTATTTACAGAGATTTCACAAGTTTCTTGAGAAGAGAAAACCTTTAAACATAATAGAAGATGATTTTATAAAGAAATTCTGGGAGACTGTATTCAGCTGTGTCTTCTTAAATACCATGGGGGACTCTGTGGATGAAGATATTTGCACAGGAGAAGAGAAGTTGGAGAGCCTCCCTCTCCCTTTTTTTGAAATGAGTATGACTGGGCACAGCTACAGCATCTATAATGCAGTCTATGTAGTGGCCCATGCTTTACAAGCCATGTTCTCATCCAGAAGGACATATGACACAGTGTTAGTCAGAGGAAGACCTGAACTTCAGAATCAACCGTTTTGGCAGGTAATTTTCCACACATTCTCATGTGGTAGCACACCATATTTTGAGGGTAACCAGTGAAACTAATGTGTCCATAAACTCTACCTATGCTCACATTTTCAGCTTTCTTTCTCTGCCCACTGCATAGAAATTAAATAACAGTATACGCTTTGGTCAGCCTTCCTTTTATGTGTCCTTTTGGTATATGAACTTTCTGTACCTACAGTGTATAATGGGTGCTAGTGTTTTTTGTGTGTGTGATTTCATTCCTTCAAAACAGAGTAACATTATTATTATGCTGCTGCTTCAGAATACATACATCTAGCTCAGTTGGTCTCAGCACAAATCACAGGGTTGTGGGTTCGAGCCCCACATTGGGTAGAAAGATTGCTGCATTGCTGGGAACTTTACTATATGACACTTGTGTTCCCTTCCAACTCTACAATTCTATGATTCTATGTAGTCAAGAATGGCATGTTGCACATGTAGCAGCAAAGCTCCACGTCTTCATCTGCCGCAGCTTCAACAAAACCTATCTCTTCCATATTGGTTTCAGCAGCCCCAGCGGGAGCTGAACCTCCCAACAGTTTGACCTCACCCCCAAAGGCACTGTCCTATATTGTTTCAGTACAGACAGATGCCAACCATGTAGTCATAAAAACACAGCTCTCCTTTAAAAAACATTTCTAAGGTGTCATCTTTTTAAGTGCAACACTTTACATGCTACTATATAAATGTTTGTTTGTTTGCTTGCTTGCTTGCTTGCTTGCTTATTTGTTTATTATTTTCCTTTTATCAAGCTCCATCATTTTCTCCAAAGTGTTTCATTTAATAACAGTGCTGGGGACAAGATTTCTTTTGATGAAAGTGGAAAATTGATAGCTGCATTTGATGTTATAAACTTGATTGTTTTGTCCAACCAATCCTTCCATAAAGTAAAAGTTGGTAGGCTTGATCCTCAGACTCTTCCAAGCCAAGTGTTGACCATCAACGACAAGGTCATAAGGTGGAACAGCTTGTTTAACCAGGTAAGTACTAATTGTCAGTACATTGCAAACTATTTCTGACTTGCAATGTTAATTCCTTTTTTAAATGATTATGAAATAAAAACAAAGTAAAAATAAAAACAAATATATGCAAATAAATAAAATAAAACATTAATTGTATGCAAACAAGCATAAACACATTTACGTTTTAAAGTTTTTTGAAGGCAGAAGCTTTTATTCATCCAGTCAAAGGTAACTATTGTTGTTAAACAAGACCCTTGAAAGTGTTCTTTTCACTAGCATAATGAAACCATTTCATTCTAAGAATCCTTACTTTACATGGGGGACCATAAATGTCAGGAGTCCAGGCTCCCAGCCTGATAACATAGTAAGCATAGGTAATTAAAAAGGGGGATTTATTGCAAAAAACAAACAGATAGCTCCGGACGGCTCTAACACAGCAGCCAACATTATCACTCAAGATGACCCTTCTGAAGACTTCTTCCGGTTCTTACAGACTATATTGATCCGTCGTCCCTTACTTCTCTTGTTTTGCTTCCTATCTAGCAACCCTCCCATTCACCGACACTTCAGACTTATTGGATTAGCTCCAGCCTCTTCCTGTTCTGACAGATTGTCTATGTGTCTGTTCACTCCTGTTTGAACTTCCTGAGAGCTTTGGCTGTGTTCTAGCCCGCTACTCAGTTGTTCCCTCGGCAACCGGTATTCCAATGTCCAGAGGACTTACCACTGATTGCTGTGTTCTTTGCTCAGCCTGCATCAAATCTACGCCTCTCTGTTCTGCAGCAGGCTGTAAAGTTCCACTAGGAACCGACTCATTCCTAACAGTAAACCTCTGCTTTGCCTTGTTTGCTATTGAATTTTGATAAATTGCAAGATGTAGGTAATTTCTCCAATTGGTAGTCTTCATTTAAGAGTCAAGTAACAATTATTTTGTATCCCCACATGCAATACCTTTTGGAAAACTGCTTTGAGGTATTTTACAATCCAGTAGCGTATAAATTTTAGGAAATAAATATATATACTCCAGCTATTTATAATTTCTCATAACATAATGGCTTTCTTATTCTGTAAAAAACAAGTCCCCAAATCTTAAAGATCCAAAGCTCAATATTCTTGTCCTTTTTCATTTCTGGATTAGGCACAACCTTTATCCGTATGCACTGAGAGTTGTTATCCTGGTCATAGCAAGAAAGTGAAGGAGGGGGAGCCATTTTGCTGCTATGATTGCATTCCATGTCCAGAAAGGAAGATTTCAACTCGGAAGGGTAAGACATATAATTATGCCTTCTCCTTCATACACCTTCAACACAAGAATCTTCTCCCAATTTCAAACCTCAGTTCCATGCAGCTGATTGCTCACAGTTATGATGTCCACCTCCTCTGGTGTGCACCTATTCTTAATACAAATTAAAACCCAATTATTAGAAGAACCTCCACATCCAAAGGCAATTTTGGGGGTTTCGCATCATGTGAAGTGCGTAGCACCCAGTGCCCCCTGCCTGTCCCCTGTGGTGAGCCATTGAGGCGCTGTCAGATTGCCAGTACCTCCCATACCCTGAGAGTTTTATAGGGGATGGTTTAACTCCTTCCATCACATTTTTTCAGCCTGTTCTTCTCTCCAATGTTGAGAGAGCCATTGCCATGGCATGCTATAGGAACCAGAAGCCAGAAACAAAAAGGTTTTAAAGGTAATGGCCACTCACCAGAATTCTGGATGGGCAGGGGTTGTGGCCCAGCAAATTCCCTCCACGTTTGAAAACCATTTTCTTGTGTCTGACCATTGGAACCCTCAACAGCCGGCCATCAGAGCTTGCAGGATTGCCCAACAAAATTGAATATGAACTGGGCAAAAATGCTTTTTCACAGGGGCAGGGGTGGAGCAGCAGACTGTAGTGAAGACTGTAGTCCACCTCTAGAGTATTTAAGCTGATTGTATTCAGCAGTTTGGTCGGCAAAGCAGCAACCTTCCCTCCCACAACATATATACAGTATCTTAGTTCTTTGGTTCTTAGACCTTGCTGTGGTGCAAAATGATCATCATATTCTTGGCCGGGAGGAAATTTGCCCTCAAACAAATTGGGCCTGTTGTGGCATTTTTTGACTTTCTCATAGCAATTGTCTCAACTAGCTAAGCCTAGTAGGACCTGGCTAAGGCAGCTTACTCTATAGTATTAACCCCATTCATGTGTTAATTCAACTTAAGCAAGTTGGTTACAGAAGACTGGTTATCCCACAGTCCCATCATTACATATCCCACAGTCCCATCATTAGGTACCAGGTGAAAATATTCCTCCTCAATCAGGCTTTTCTCTGATTAAACAATCTATGGCCCTTTGAATGAATTATGTTATATATATTGTGTTTTAAAGTATCCCACCCTGTGATCTTTGGGTGAAAGGCGGTATGTAAATTTAATAACAATAAATTACCTTTGCTTTTCAGATATGCATGACTGTTATGACTGCATGGACACAACCTATCCAAACATCAAGCATGATTTTTGCATACCCAAAGCTAGAACATTCTTATCTTATAAAGAACCTCTAGGGATCAGCTTAAGCCTCTTTGCACTTTCCTTTGCATTGATAACAGCTCTGGTGCTGGGAATAATTCTGAAGCACCACAACACTCCCATCGTCAAAGCCAACAACCGGAACCTCACATACATTCTCCTGATTTCCCTTCTGCTTTGCTTCATTTCTGCATTGCTTTTCATTGGCCATCCTGAACCGGTGACATGTCTTCTCCGACAAACTGCATTCAGCATCATCTTCTCAGTGGCTGTTTCTTCTGTGCTGGCAAAAACTATCATGGTGGTTCTGGCATTTATGGCCACAAATCCAGGAAGCAGGATGAGGAAATGGGTGGGGAAAAGCCTGGCCAACTCCATTGTTGCATCCTGTTCCCTCATACAAGCAGGCATTTGCAGTGTGTGGCTGGCAACCTCTGCCCCATTTCCAGATGTGGACATGCACTCAGTGACTACAGAAATTATATTAGAATGTAATGAGGGATCTGTCATTTTGTTTTCTTGTGTCTTGGGCTATCTTGGCTTCTTGGCTATTGTCAGTTTTGTTGTGGCTTTCTTTGCTAGGAGGTTACCGGACAGTTTCAATGAAGCCAAGTTCATCACTTTCAGCATGTTAGTCTTCTGCAGTGTGTGGCTATCCTTCATTCCAGCTTATCTGAGCTCAAAGGGCAAATACATGGTAGCTGTGGAGGTTTTTTCTATTTTAGCTTCCAGTTCTGGGCTGCTGGGTTGCATCTTTGCACCCAAATGTTATATCATTTTGTTGAGGCCTGAGCTAAACAACAGGGGACAGCTAGTAAGAAGATAAGACTGAGTAGCATTCTTTTTTTACAGTCTGTTATCTGGATGCATTTGTGCATGAATGCACACACCTTTCTGATATGTTTCCTTTTCTGGAGCTGTGCAATATACATTTTGCTCAAAATTCTCCAAGCACTTACTAGTTTGAAATACATGTGAAACTCAGAACCAACTTTTTTCCCCAAACAGAAATGTTATGTATTTACAGAAGGCATTTTTAAGTGAGAAACATTCAATAAAAATATAAAATGCTCTCTATACAGATGCTAACTTTCTGAAATTCAGTATGTTATGAATAGCTAATGCTATTCTAGGTTGTGTGAATAGAATTGTGGTGTCCTGATCAAGGGTAATAACAGTACCACCCTATTCTGCCTTGGCCAGTCTCCATCCTGTGTACTGTGTTCAGTTCTAGGCATGACAATTTAAGAAGAATATTGACCAGCTGGAAGGAGTGCAGAAGACGGTGACCAAGGAATGCTTCACATGTACTGAAACTGAAATCTACTTAAGTAGATAACAACTAGTTCAATAAGATTGCCTTTATTGATCTTTTTTACAAGCTGTTGTTGTGTGTGTAATTGTAGCCTTCTGTTTCCCTCCCATTTCTGTAATGTTTTCTTAATAAAAGATGCCAATTTTTACCTGTCAACTTCTATAGTCCTGACTTCTCTGTGTGCCAATAAAGGTTGATTAGTTGATTGAACAAAAGTCTTTATACATCGATGTTTGGTTTCCTTAGTTTTGAAAGGCAATTCAACTGAATTTCTCACTACTATAATTCCGGTTCTATCATCATATAGAAAAAGTGATGGAGTTTTATAAGAAAAGGGTTTGGGGTTTGAGGATAGTATATTCAGAACTTCTCTCATGGTTTATATTGCCCACCTCAACTATATTAGCCTAGGGGTGAGGAGTCCTGAAAATGGGGTTAAAATATAATTCATACAGCTGGACAGATTTATGTGAGTTCAAGGATCATCCTGATTGATAGCAACCTATCAATACTCTTGGGAGTGTGAATCCTTATACTAATAAATATTAAAGAACATCCCAGGCATTTAAAACCTTAAGTGTACACTCCTAGTCAGTAAAGTGGAAACGAAAACTTCTATTCAGATGTGATAAACATGTTTTGTTTTGTTTTTGCAATTCCACAGGGAATTCCGACATTTGAGTTCATATCATACTCCCATTCATTTATATAGGCTATAATTAAATTCTAAAATCTACTGTACAATTACCATTTCCCCTTAGAGAACTAATCTGAGGATGGCACAAAGATGCCCTCTAGCAATCACAGGTATGATGAGGGACTAGGAACAAGCATGCACACCCCACTCTTATCACTTTACTTATACTTCATAACTTGGATGTTATGATTTAGGCATATCATTAGATTGGCTGAGCATTCAATCTGGTCACGATAATGACAGAGTACATCCTGATAATGATGCAGGTGGAATCATGAGTTAGAGTGAAGCGTGGCGATCAATATGATGGTATTAGTTGTCTTCCTGCTAATACTGTCTTCTCATATTGCATGTGAAGACCACCTTGTTAAATGCAGGATCCATGCTCCACACCCCCCACTTCAAAAATACTGTCAGTCAGGCAGCATCATAATTGGTGGGATTGTTTCTCACAGTTTCATTGTTGCTAATTCAATAGCCTTCACAACCAAACCTCCAGCAGCATCATTTGAAGATCTTTGGTAAGGAACTAACCGTTTCTAACTTTGCATTTGTTAATTCGTCTCAGTCTTAGGAGCTTATCAAAAATATTTTCTTGTTGAACTGTAGAAAAGGTAATACATTTAAGGGAATGCTGAAGAGAGAAAGAAATTCCACAGGACAAAGGAAAATTTGTTGTCATCCCTGAGAGTGCTCAGAGCTTCCACCAGGAAGGAATTGAGCTTTTTCCAGATCCACTTAGCTGTATTCATATTGCCCCCCTGTAGGCTCAATAACACATTCCCCCACCATTGTACCACCACTGGTCCAAATACACCTCCTCAACTATGACTACTCTTGTTACTACTACTGTTAAAAATTGATGATATGAGATTCTGTCATGCATTTCCTTTGTCACATTTTTTTGAATGTAAGGTAAAATTCAGAGTAGAAAGAATTTTAGCTCTTCTTTTATTTACAATCTCCTGCATCTCACCCATCTCCACCTCCTGTTTCCTTTCTTTCATCATATGCATACTGTCTCCTCTTATACTTCTGTTGTGCTTTCCCTTCCTTCTGATTTTTTTGTTACTTGGCTTCAAACAGAGCAGTGTATTTGTGTTGTTGTTGTTTCCATTTTATTTACTTTCATGAATCTTTCCATTTATCAGAGTTACCATAACTATCTTAATACACGCCTTTTGCACTGTATTAAAATGGACTGAATTTTTCTTTCTTTTTTCTTTGCAGGAGTGTGTTTCTTTGAAAGAAAATTCATATCACATTCAGTGGCTATCATTATGAATGTGCACAGTATAGGGTTAGAACATCAATAGATTTATCAATGTGAGTGTATTTTCCATTGTGTCAGTCATAGTAATATACCTATCAATACCAATTTTTTGATTGTTTTACTTTTCCCACTACAAAAGGCATAGAAATAAAGACTGATGAAGCTGATGTAAAACAAAATTGCAGCAATTTATTACGGGGAAAATATTGCCTGACTGTAGTTGCAACTCTTGTTCTAGTGTGGTGCCCAAAAATTACCAGCACATCCTGGCCTTGGCATTTGCAGCACTGGAGATAAATGAAAACCCTCAGCTATTACCAAATATCACCTTGGGCGTCTGCATCTATGACAGCTATTTCAATGCTCAGAGGACTTATCATGCTACTATGATACTTACCTCCACATTGGAGATATTTGTCCCTAACTATTTATGCGGCACCCGAAATCAGTTGATAGCAGTCATTGGGGGGCTAGATTTAGATATCTCTCTTCATATGGCAACTGTACTGGATATCTACAAAATTCCACAGGTAAGGGATATGATTTGATTTGATTTCTATCCCAACACTTCTCCAAACGGAGCCGAAGGTGGCAAACATAAAAATGTAAAAACAATATGTTAAAATAAAATTGTTAAAACATTTTTAAACCATCTAGAAACATGCTCCCCTACCCACCTTGGGGAACATGCATATATGCATATCATTTTGTACATTTCCCATCCAATATATGTATGTGATCTCTAAAAGGTCTTGGAGAATCTGTATATCATGAAAGAGTTTTGTCCTTGGCTAATCTCCAGCAAACACTAAATAATTCACATCGTCATCTTCCTCCCAAGTTTGAGCCCTATGCATTCTGTCCTTGCCCTCAAAGAATACTAAGATCTTGTTTGATGAAAGGAGAGCTGAGAGAAAATGCCTTCAATGGCTCTCCAACAGGTACATGGTGTTAGGCTGTTTTGGTAGTTTGAGGCTGTCTACAGGCTGTGTCATAACTGTCCCAACAGGCTATAATACCTGTGATTACTGTTTTTAGGGACTGTTTCCTCTTTCCAACTGTCACACAAATGTAGATGCTGGCCAGGGAGACAAATTGCTGGGGAGCAAAAATTATTGACTTCTCAGGTCAGACATGGTGATTGTACACAGGGACCAGGGAACTGCCTCTTACAGGAACAGTGGTGGTAAGAAAGACCAACTTAAGAATTGTTGAACATTATTTGGACTTCAGTTATAGAAGGGCAAAGAAAATAGGAGCAAAGCCCACAAAGGAAAGGGGAAGTTGATACTGAAATGCATCTATGTAGGGAGGGTGTTGTATAATTTTGTTATTGTTGTTTAGTCATTTAGTCGTGTCTGACTCTTTGTGACCCATGGACCAGAGCACGCCAGTCACTTCTGTCTTCCACTGCCTCCCGCAGTTTGGTCAAACTCAAGCTGGTAGCTTCGAGAACACTGTCCAACCATCTTGTCCTCTGTCGTCCCCTTCTCTTTGTGCCCTCAGTCTTTCCCAAAATCAGGATCTTTTCCAGGGAGTCTTCTCTTCTCATGAGGTGGCCAAAGTGTTGGAGCCTCAGCTTCAGGATCTGTCCTTCCAGCGAGCACTCAAGGCTGATTTCCTTAAGAATGGATATGATTGATCTTCTTGCAGTCCTTGGGACTCTCAAGAGTCTCCTCCAGCACCATAATTCAAAAGCATCAATTCTTCAGCTATCAACCTTTTTTATGGTCCAGCTCGCACTTCCATACCTCACTACTGGGAAAACCATAGCTTTAACTCTACTGACCTTTGTCGGCAGGGTGCCAAAGAGAAATCTCAAAGAAAAATTTAATTTGGGTAAGGCTCTGTGTCCTTAGAACATGGCAGAAGCTAAGCAACAAAAATGCTAAACGCATCAGGGGTGTGTGCATAATTTAGGAGCTACCAGAGAGAAATCCCTCTCCCAGGTCATCATTCTCAGGACTCTGGAGTTGGGAGGAACTATGAAAACATAATAATAATTATAATAATAATTTTCACTCACATCTCCCTTTCCATCTTCAGCTAACATTCAGTCCTGCACCAGTGATGAATGATAAAACCCCAGGCCTTTCCTTCTACCAGATGGTCCCCCAAGAAGCCCTTCAGTATGAGGGCATTCTCTCTCTGCTTCTGCATTTCGGGTGGACGTGGATTGGGGTCATTGTTATGGATAATGATAATGGAGAAAGATTTGTGCAAACTGTGCTTCCAGTCTTTTCCCAGAAGGGTGTTTGTTTTGCCTTCATAGAGAGAATCCCCACCCTTTCTTTTGTCACTGAATTTATGGACATCATAGAAGATGGGGTCAAAATAAATGATAATATGATGGGCAGCAACGCAAATGTAGTAGTGATCTATGGAGAATCTTATTCCATGTCATTTTTTAGATGGCTTCCGGTTTTATCTGTTGAAAATAAATTAGCGGGGAAAGTTTGGATAGCAACAGCCCAGGTGGAGATCAGTGCATTTCACTATCAAAGGCATTGGGATGTAGAACTATTCCATGGTGCTATAGCCTTCAGATATCAGTTTAGTTATTTACAGAGATTTCACAAATTTCTTGAGGAGAGAAATCCTTTAAATACAATAAAAGATGATTTCATAAAGAAATTCTGGGAGACCGTATTCAGCTGTATATTCTTAAATGTCACTGGCAACTATGTGGATGGAGATATTTGCACAGGAGAAGAGAAGTTGGAGAGCCTCCCTCTCCCTTTTTTTGAAATGAGTATGACTGGGCACAGCTACAGCATCTATAATGCAGTCTATGTAGTGGCCCATGCTTTACAAGCCATGTTCTCATACAGAAGGACATATGGCACAGTATTAGTCAGAGGAAGACCTGAACTTCAGAATCAACCGTTTTGGCAGGTAATTTTCCACACATTCTCATGTGGTAGCACACCATATTTTGAGAGTAACCAGTGAAACTAATGTGTCCATAAACTCTACCTATGCTCACATTTTCAGCTTCCTTTCTCTGCCCACTGCATAGAAATGAAAGGATAGTCTATGCTTTAGTCAGCCTTCCTTTTTTGTGTCTATTTGGTATATGAACCTACTGAAACTACACTGTATAATGGGTGCTAGCGATGTTTTTAGTGGTGACCAATTCCTCAGACAAATTTCATTCCTTGCAAAAAGAGTACCATTGTTATTATGTCGCTGTCTCCAGAATATATACATCTATCTCAGTGGGTAGGGTATGAGACTCTTAATCTCAAGTTGTGCGTTGCAGGAAACTAGATTATACAACACTTGTGTTCCCTTCAAACTCTACAATTCTATGAAGTCAAGAACGACATGGTGCATCTGCAGCAGCACAGCTGGATGTCTCCATCTGCCCCAGCTGCAAAAAACATGACTCTTCCATATCAGTCTCTACAGCCACAGCGGATGCTGGAAGCTCCCAACAGTTTGACCTCACCCACAAAGGCAACATATAGTCAGAAAAATGCAGCTCTTCTTTAAAATACAGTCATATCTAGGGTTGAAGTAGCTTCGGGTTGAGTGTTTTCGGGTTGTGCTCCGCAGTGACCAGGCAGTAACGAAATGTGTTAGGTCTAGGTTTTGCCACTCGCACATGCGCAGACGCTCAAAATAACGTCACGCACATGCGCGGAAGCGGTTAATCACAACCCGCACATGCACAGGCGCGCAGGCGCAGTTTGCGGTCGCTTCAGGATGTGAACAGGGCTCCGGAACGGATCCCGTTCGCATCCAGAGGTACGACTGTATATTTCTAAGGTGTCCTTTTTTAGGTTCAACATTTTATACACTACTATATTAATGCAACTATTTATTTCTTTATTATTTTCTTTTTTCTAGCTCCATCACTTTCTCCGAAGTGTTTCGTTTAATAACAGTGATGGGGACAAGATTTCTTTTGATGAAAGTAGAAAAATGATAGCTGCATTTGATGTTATAAACTTGATCGTTTCCTCCAACCAATCCTTTCATAAAGTGAAGGTTGGTAGGCTTGATCCTCAGGCTCCTCCAGACAAAGTGTTAACCATCAATGACAAGGTCATAAGGTGGAACAGCTTGTTTAACCAGGTAAGAACTGTCAGTTATTTGATACTTCGGTAAGCTCTAGGTCGCTATTCTGACATGCAATGTTAATTTCTTTATAATATGATTACTAAATAAAAATGAAGTAGAATTAAAATTATATATATATATATGCAGATAAATAAAATAAACAATTAATTGTATACAAACTAGCATAAACACATTTATGTTTTACAGTTATTTGAAGGCGGAAGCTTTTCTTTATCCAGTCAATGGTTACTATCTTTGTTAAGCAAGACCCTTGAAAGTTGTTCTTTACACTAGCATAATGAAACCATTGCACTGTAAAAATCCTTATTTTACATATGGGACCATAAAACTCTGCTTTGCCTTATTCGCTATTGAATTTTGATAAATTGCAAGATGTAGGTAATTTCTCTCAATTGTACTCTTCCTTTCAGAGTCAAGTAACAATTATATTGCACCCACACATGCAATAACCTTTTGTAAACAGCTTTGAGGTATTTTACAATCCAGTAGTTTATAAATTTTATAAAATAAATATATATGCTCCAGCTATTTATAATTTCTCATAATATAATGGCTTCCTTATTGTCTAAGAAACAAGTCCCACAAATCTTAAGGCTCCCAAGCTCATTTTTTATTTTTTATTGGTCCTTTTTAATTCTGGCTTAGGCACAACCTTTATCCGTATGCACTGAGAGTTGTTATCCTGGTTACAGCAAGAAAGTGAAGGAGGGGGAGCCATTTTGCTGCTATGAGTGCATTCCATGTCCAGAAAGGAAGATTTCAACTCAGAAGGGTAAGACATATACTTCAGAGGTTTGCCATATCAGATTAGCAGAAGTATCGCACTAAGGGGCAGTCATCTGAAAACAGGAATACGTCTGATAAGTTATTCTTCAGTGTTTGAAATGAAACGTTTTGCCATTCCCAACCCCCCAATATAAACCCAATTAAACAAATTAATTTCAAAAGTAATACAATTTTGTTAAGAGCCTTCCCACACACCATTCATGGTAGATCATTATGATCTAATATTACAGTGTTTCATATTCTTATTTATTTCTATTACATTCCATTTTTCAAAATTATCACATAATTAACAGCTGCATTCTTAATGGTTTCTATTTGTTTTATTATATTATTTAACTTCAAAAAAGAAAAGAAAAAAGGTTTCAATTGAAGAACCATAGCTTTTCCCTTTTCATTCTGCGTGCGCCACATCCAAAAGTCAGTTGTTAGTCTCTTGGCCTTATATGTCTCTCTTATGTTTTCCTTTTTCCTGCAGTATTTGGGGCTATCTCCTACTGTTGTTGTATTCCATCCTTGTTGGTGATGAGCTGCAACTTCAAGGTTAAACCCTCTTCTTTCTCAGACTCAGCTCCTTCCCATAATACTGAAGCAGTTCCAAATCAAAAACAGTAGATCCCTCCCTTCCACAGGCATCCAGAATCAACAGGTTGCAGAGATGTGCCATTTCTTCCTCTGGCTGAGAAGGGAGGGGAAAGGCAGTGCCATTCCTCTTCCAACATCCAAAGCTACTATAGCATTTTGCTTTTTATTTATTTTTTAAAAAGTTATATCTCCATGATCTCTTTCAGCCTTTCAGTCTTTTTAGAGGGAGTAAGCTTTAACTCACAGTGACATCCTTCCAAACAAAACAACCAAGCTCTTTCTGTCTCTCACCTCCTTACTCCTTTCAAGCCACATGCAGCTTTACATCTTCTGCAATGGCGCCACTGCACTCTCTCTCCCTGGCGCTGCTGTGCCAGCCCTCTCTGTTTCCCTTTCTCTCAGGTGAAATCCCCAATGGAGAATGAATCACGAGCGACAGTGGGATTTTATTTTGGGAAAACAGGTTGCAAACAAACTTTATTATAACAGATGTAAACAAGGAGTTTTGGTTCTTCTTCTTCCACAGAATTGTAACAAACAGTGAGTTGCTTTCTATTACAATGTATTCTGTTTCAAGTTATAGGCTGTATGCTGTTCAAGCTTATGGTTACTTTCTTTTGCACATCTTTCATAGATCAGACTTCTCCACAAACACTTCAGGGATTTAGGATTTCCACTGTACTGTTTCCTTAAAAGAAAGGTAAAGGACCCCTGACAGTTAAGTCCAGTTGCGAATGACTCTGGTTTGCAGCACTCATCTCGCTTTATTGGCCGAGGGAGCCGACGTTTGTCCGCAGACAGTTTTTCCGGGTCATGTGGCCAGCATGACTAAGCTGCTTCTGGCGAAACCAGAGCAGTGCACGGAAATGCCGTTTACCTTCCCCAGAGCGGTACCTATTTACCTACTTGCACTTTGACATGCTTTCAAACTGCTAGGTTTCCTTACAAACCCCCAAATCCTCCTTGGCTTTGGAATCACTACTGCCCTTTTGTGTCTGAGTACTCCCTCTGAAGACCCTTTTTCCTGTAAACACCATGTGGGACTGTGTCTTGTCTATTTTAACAGTGTTCTGCTATTCAGAAGCTTAGAGCATATACTGAGAATTCTTGGCTCTTCTCAGCTCTACCACTTGTCAGAAGAACGAACTCTCCTGACAGAATCCAACTCACAGACCCCATGAATCTTTCACACAGTCTCTCACTCCACTCAAACTGCCTCCCTTGGAAATCAGGAGCTGTTGCTAGTTAACTGTTTGCTGTAGTACGACTCATGCAACATGTTGGTGACTAATATACACACAATAATTACCAAAATGATTATGCATTCTTTATCAATCTTCTGAGAAAAATATACAAACTTATGCAAAGCCACAGAGACTTGTGAACTACCCAAACTAAGATGAACTTATAATGTCTGATTTCTAGCTAACTGTTTGCGGGCGGCGCGGGGGGAACACTCAGTGACTCAACATGCTCGGCAAACAAACTTTTCCATCACATCTTCTTTTAAATCCCAATGATACATTGTACATCAAACAATCTATACTTCTATATCTTAAAATTCAATATTAGGAGAGGGCTGCTGAACCATAAATTTAAAAGCTTCCATAAAATATAGCAAAGAGCCACCCTCTGCTCCATCCACCTCCCACAGACGATAGAATATTCTCCCAATTTCAAACCTCAGTTCCATGCAGCTGATTGTTCACCATTATAAAACCCAATTATAATGAGAACCTCCTTGCGATTTGGTGGGTTTCAGATCAGGCGAAGTGCATAGCAACCAATGCCCCCTGCCTGCCCCACAGCGAGAGATTGAGGCGCAGGCAGGTCACCAGTATCTCCCATACACCAGAAATTTATAGGGGGTTTAACTCCTTCCATCTCCTTTTTTCAGCCTGTGCCTCTATTCAATGCTGAGAAAGTCATTGCCATGGCACAATATAGGAACTGGAAGCCTGAAACAAAAAGTTTTGAAGGTAATGGCGACTCAGAAGTATTCTGGATGAGCAGGGGTTGTGGCCCAGCAAATCCTCCCCAACTTTGAAAATAGTTTTCTTGTCTCCGGCCATTGGAAACCCCTGACAGCCAGCCATAAGAAGGTGCAGGATTGCCCAACAATATTGAATCTGAATTGGGCAATAATGCCTTTTCATGGGGTCAGGGGTGGAGAAACAGACCATAGTGAAGAAGTCTTCACTCTGGTCCACCTCCAGAGTATTTAAGCTGATGGCACTCAAAAGCGTGGTTAGCAGAACAGCAACCCTCCCTCCCACACCATAAATATGGTATCTTGGTTCAAAATGGTCATCGAATTCTTGGCCAGGAAATAATCTGCCTTCAAACAATTTTGGCCTGTTGTGGGTTTGTTTGCCTTCCTCATAGCAATTATAACAATGAGCTAAGCCTAGCAGGATGTAGCTAAGGATAGCAGGACAGCCTATTCTACATTACAAACCACATCACGTGTTAATTAGACTTAGGCATGTTGGTTATAGAGACTGGTTTTCCCACAGTGCCGTCATTACATGTTATTAGGTGCCAAATGAAAACATTCCTCTTCAATCAGGCTTTTCTCTGATTAAACAATCTATGGCCATTTGAATGAATTGTGCTATATATTTTGTGTTTTAATGTACCCCACCCTGTGACATTTGGGTGAAAGGAGGTATGCAAATTTAATAACAATAAATTACCTTTGCTTTTCAGATATGCATGACTGTTATGACTGCATGGACACAACCTATCCAAACATCAAGCATGATTTTTGCATACCCAAAGCTAGAACATTCTTATCTTATAAAGAACCTCTGGGGATCAGCTTAAGCCTCTTCACACTTTCCTTTGTATTGATAACAGCTCTGGTGCTGGGAATAATTCTGAAGCACCACAACACTCCCATCGTCAAAGCCAACAACCGGAACCTCACATACATTCTCCTGATTTCCCTTCTGCTTTGCTTCATTTCTGCATTGCTTTTCATTGGCCATCCTGAACCGGTGACATGTCTTCTCCGGCAAACTGCATTCAGCATCATCTTCTCAGTGGCTGTTTCTTCTGTGCTGGCAAAAACTATCATGGTGGTTCTGGCATTTATGGCCACAAAGCCAGGAAGTAGGATGAGAAAATGGGTGGGGAAAAGCCTGGGCAACTCCATTGTTGCATCCTGTTCCCTCATACAAGCAGGCATTTGCAGTGTGTGGCTGGCATCCTCTGCCCCATTTCCAGATGTGGACATGCACTCAGTGACTACAGAAATTATATTAGAATGTAATGAGGGATCTGTCATTTTGTTTTCTTGTGTCTTGGGCTATCTTGGCTTCTTGGCTATTGTCAGTTTTGTTGTGGCTTTCTTTGCTCGGAAGTTACCGGACAGTTTCAATGAAGCCAAGTTCATCACTTTCAGCATGTTGGTCTTCTGCAGTGTGTGGCTATCCTTCATTCCAGCTTATGTGAGCTCAAAGGGCAAATACATGGTAGCTGTGGAGGTTTTTTCTATTTTAGCTTCCAGTTCTGGGTTGCTTGTGTGCATCTTTGCACCCAAATGTTATATCATTTTGTTGAGGCCTGAGCTGAACAACAGGGGACAGCTAGTAAGAAGATAAGACTGAATATGTGCTTTTTGTTACAGTCTGTGGTCTGGATGCATGTGTGCACACATGCACACACCTTTCTGATATGTTTCCTTTTCTGGAGCTATCCAATATACATTTTGCTCAAAATTCTCCAAGTACTTACTAGTCTGAAATACATGTGAAACTCAGAATCAACTTTTTTCCCCCAAGGGAAATGTTACGTATGTACAGAAGGTATTTTTAAGTCAGTCACATTCAATAAAAATATAAAATGGTGTCTATACGGATGCTAATTTTCTGAAATTCAACACGTTATGAAAGATTTGGGCACTGAATTCTTACCAAAATGGCAGTAAATGTTATTACTGGTACACAAATCTGGTAATATGTCAGATTATACAGAGAATAATAACTTTTAAAAGAAAAAATAGTAGGAACTCAATAAGGGGCCATCAAGCCTTCTAGTTTATTTTTTGTTCTGATATTTTTGTTGTGATATTTTGGCATGGATGTGAGTCTGGAACAACATGCGCTTACTTACATCATTATCATCATCATAAAATTTTATTTGTTCCCCGCCCTCCCCGGGCAAGCCGGGCTCAGAGCAGCTAACCACAAGTAAAAATAGCACAGTGTACATAAAATCACATGGTCAATTAATTAAAACACATTCTAAAATCAATTCAGTATCAAATAGCAACCATTGGGTTAGAGTTCTATGAGAATTACAGAACGAGACATGGGGTCAGACTGTGCCTTAGCCAAAGGACTGGCAGAACAGTTCCGTCTTGCAGGCCCTGCGGAAAGATGTCAAGTCCCGCAGGGCCCTACAGGCTTATAGAAGCTTGCTGGAATTGGCAGTTATACCTATTCAGGCTGGCAATTTGAAGGATCATCACTGTGACAACAGATGACTGATTGGTGGATAACCCCACCTGCCCATCAAAATGGCCTTTTCAGGAATCTAAGGGTGGTGTTCAACTAATTCCTAATGCACATGACTAAATTAGCTTCATTAACAAACAAACAGAAAGATTCCTTCCAGCAGCACCTTAGAAACCAACTACATTAGTTATTGGTATGAGCTTTTGTGTGCATGCACACTTCTTCAGAATCCCACTCTCAGGATCCAATCCACTAGTGGAAAGGGTTTCTCACCCCTGGCTTGCCAGTAGTACATGTGAAAAGGATCTAGGGATCTTAGGTAAAGGTAAAGGGACCCCTGACCGTTAGGCCAGTCTCCATCCTGTGTACTGTGTTCAGTTCTAGGCACCACTATTTAAGAAGAATATTGACCAGCTGGAATGAGTGCAGAAGAGGGTGACCAAGGAATGCTTCACATGTACTGAAACTGAAATTAACTCATGTAGATAACAACTAGTTCAATAATATTGACTTTATTGATCTTTTTTACAAGCCTGTGTTGGTTGTGTAATTGTAGCCTTCTATTTTACTACCATTCCTGTAATGTTTTTTTAACAAAAGATGCCAAGTTTTCTTAATGAAAGATGCCATGTTTGAGGATAGTATTTTCAGAACTTCTCTCATGGTTTATATTGCCCACCACAACTATATTAGGCTTGGGGTTAGGAGTCCTGGAAATGGGGTTAAAATATAATTCATACAGCTGGACAGATTTATGTGAGTTCAAGGATTATCCTGATTGATGGCAACCTATCAATACTCTTATAATCCTTATACTAATAAATATTAAAGAACATCTCAGGCATTTAAAAGCATAAGTGTGCATTCCTAGTCAGAAAAGTGGAAAAGAAAACTTCTATTCAGATGTGATAAACATGTTTTCGTTTGCAATCCCACAAGGAACTCCCACATTTGAATTCATACTCCCATTCATTTATATAGGCTATAATTAATTTCTAAAATCTACTGTACAATTACCATTTTCCCTTAAAGAACTAATCTGAGGATGGCACAAAGATGCCCTCTAGCAATCATAGGTATGATGAGGGACTAGGAACAAGCATGCACACACCAGTCTTATAACTTTACTTATATTTCATATCGTGGACGTTATGATTCAGGCATATCATCAGATTGACTGAGCATCCAATCTGGTCATGATGATGACAGAGTACATCCTGATAATGATGCAGGTGGAATCATGAGTTAGAGTGAAGGGTGGTGTTCAGTATGATGGTATTAGTTGTCTTCCTTCTAATACTGTCTTCTCATATTGCATGTGAAGACCACCTTGTTAAATGCAGGATCCATGCTCCACACCCTCCACTTCAAAAATACTGTCAGTCAGGCAGCATCATAATTGGTGGGATTGTTTCTCACAGTTTCATTGTTGCTAATTCAATAGCCTTCACAACCAAACCTCCAGCAACTTCATTTGAAGATCTTTCGTAAGGAACTAATCTTTTCTAACTTTGCATTTTTGTTGTTGTTAGTTCGTCTTAGTCTTAGGAGCTCATAAAAAATATTTTCTTGTTGAACAGCAGAAAAACTAATACATTTAAGGGAATGCTGAAGAGAGAAAGAAATTCGATAGGACAAAGCAAAATTTGTTGTCATCCCTGAGAGTGTTCAGAGCCTCCACCAGGAAGGGAATGAGGTTTTTCCTGATCCAGTTAGCTGTTTTGCCCCCCTGGAATATAGATAACATATTCACTCCACCATTATACCAACGTTGGTCCAAATATACCTCCTCAACTATGACTACTATTGTTACTACTATTGTTAAAAATTGATGATGTGAGATTCTGTCATGTATTTCCTTTGTCACATTTTTTTGAATGTAAGGTAAAATTCAGAGTAGAAAGAATTTTAGCTCTTCTTTCCTTTACAAACTCCTGCATCTCACCCATCTCCACCTCCTGTTTCCTTTCTTTCATCATATGCATACTGTCTCCTCTTATACTTCTGTTGTGCTTTCCCTTCCTTCTGATTTTTTTGTTACTTGGCTTCAAACAGAGCAGTGTATTTGTGTTGTTGTTGTTTCCATTTTATTTACTTGCATGAATCTTTCCATTTATGAGAGTTACCATAACTATCTTAATACACGCCTTTTGCACTGTATTAAAATGGACTGAATTTTTCTTTCTTTTTTCCTTGCAGGAGTGTGTTTCCTTGAAAGAAAATTCATATCACATTCAGTGGCTATCATTATGAATGTGCATAGTATAGGGTTAGAACATCAATAGATGTATCAATGTGAGTGTATTTTCCATTGTGTCAGTCATAGTAATTTTTTGATTGTTTACTTTTTCCCACTACAAAAGGCATATAAATAAAGACTGATGAAGCTGATGCAGAATAAAATTGCAACAATTTATTAAGAGAACAATATGTGTCTGATTGTAGTTGCAACTCTTATTCTAGTGTGGTGCCCAAAAATTACCAGCACATCCTGGCGTTGGCATTTGCAGTACTGGAGATTAATGAAAACCCTCAGCTATTACCAAATGTCACCTTGGGCGTCTGCATCTATGACAGCTATTTCAATGCTCAGAGGACTTATCATACTACTATACTACTTACCTCCACATTAGAGGTATTTGTCCCTAACTACTTATGTGACACCGAAAAACATTTGATAGCAGTCATTGGAGGACTAGATTCGGATATCTCTCTTCATGTGGCCACTGTATTGGATATCTACAAAATTCCGCAGGTAAGGGATATGTGTATATGAGTGGTATAAGTGCTAGTGGTAAAATGAACTAAAGAACTAGAGACCACAGCAGCTATTTTTCAAATACTATGAAAATGTGCACATAATATTTCCAAGAAGAAGAAATCCGGCCCATTTGACAGCCAATATTTTTTATATTTATTTATTTATTTATTTTACTGTATTTCATTTCATTATTTCATTTCATTTCTATCCCAACACTCCTCCAAACGGAGCCGAAGGTGGCAAACATCAAAATGTAAAAACAATATGTTAAAATGAAATAGAAACATAGTTAAAACATTTTTAAACCATCTAGAAACATGTTCCCCTACCCACCTTGGGGAACATGTATATATGCATATCATTTTATACATTTCCCATCCAATATATGTATGTGATCTCTAAAAGGTCTTGGAGAATCTGTATATCATGAAAGAGTTTTGTCCTTGGCTAATCTCCAGGAAACACTAAATAATTCACATCTTCAGCTTCCTCCCAAGTTTGAGCCCCATGAATTCTGTCCTTGCCGTCAAAGAATACTAAGATCTTGTTTGATGAAAGGAGAGCTGAGAGAAAATGCATTCAATGGCTCTCCAACAGGTTCATGGTTTTAGGCTTTGTTGGTGGTTTGAGGCTGTCTACAGGCTGTGTCATAACTGTCCCAACAGGCTATAATACCTGTGATTACTGTTTTTAGGGACTGTGTCCTCTTTCCAACTGAAACACAAAGGTAGATGCTGGCCAGGGAGACAAAGAGCTGGGGAGCAAAAATTATTGACTTCTCAGGTCAGACATGGCGATTGTACACAGGGACCAGGGAACTGGCTCTTAAAGGAACAGTGGTGGTAAGAAAGACCGACTTGAGAACTGGTGAACATTACTGGGACTTCAGTTATAGAAGGGCAAAGAAAATAGGAGCAAAGCCCACAAAGGAAAGGGGAAGTTGATACTGAAATGCATCTATGTAGGGAGGGTGTTGCATAATTTTGTTGTTGTTGTTTAGTCATTTAGTCGTGTCTGACTCTTTGTGACCCCATGGACCAGAGCACGCCGGGCCCTCCTGTTTTCCACTGCCTCCTGCAGTTTGGTCAAACTCATGTTGGTAGCTTCGAGAACACTGTCCAACCATCTCGTCCTCTGTCGTCCCCTTCTCTTTGTACCCTCAGTCTTTCCCAAAATCAGGATCTTATCCAGGGAGTCTTCTCTTCTCGTGAGGTGGCCAAAGTAGTGGAGCCTCAGCTTCAGGATCTGTCCTTCCAGTGAGCCCTCTGGGCTGATTTCCTTAAGAATGGATAGGATTGATCTTCTTGCAGTCCATGGGAGTCTCAAAAGTCTCCTCCAGACCATAATTCAAAAGCATCAATTCTTCGGCGATCAGCCTTCTTTATGGTCCACCTCTCACTTCCCTACCTTACTACTGGGAAAATCATAGCTTTAACTCTACTGACCTTTGTTGGCAGGGTGCCAAAGAGAAATCCCTCTCCCAGGTCATCACTCCCAGCACTCCAGAGTTGGGAGGAATTATGAAAACATAAAAGTGATATATAATAATAATAATAATAATTTTCACTCATATCTCCTCTTTCATCTTCAGCTAACATTCAGTCCTGCACCAGTGATGAATGATAAAACCCCAGGACTTTCCTTCTACCAGATGGTCCCCCAAGAAACCCTTCAGTATGAGGGAATTCTCTCTCTGCTTCTGCATTTTGGGTGGACGTGGATTGGGGTCATTGTTATGGATAATGATAATGGAGAAAGATTTGTGCAAACTGTGCTTCCAGTCTTTTCCCGGAAAGGCATTTGTTTTGCCTTCATAGAGAGAATCCCCACACTTTCTTTTGTCACTGAATTTATGGACATTATAGAAGATGGGGTCAAAATAAATGATAGTATGCTGGGCAGTAAAGCAAATGTAGTAGTGATCTATGGAGAATCTTATTCCATGTCATTTTTTAGATGGCTTCCGGTTTTATCTGTTGAAAATAAATTAGGAGGGAAAGTTTGGATAGAAACAGCCCAGGTGGAAATCAGTGCATTTCACTATCAAAGGCACTGGGATGTAGAACTATTCCATGGTACTATTAGCTTTGGATATCAGTTCCGTTATTTACAGAGATTTCACGAGTTTCTTAAGAAAAGAAATCCTTTAAATACAATAGAAGATTATTTTATAAAGAAATTCTGGGAGACCGTATTTAGCTGTGTCTTCTTAAATACCATTGGGGACCATGTGGATGGAGATATTTGCACAGGAGAAGAGAAGTTGGAGAGCCTCCCTCTCCCTTTTTTTGAAATGAGTATGACTGGGCACAGCTACAGCATCTATAACGCAGTCTATGTAGTGGCCCATGCTTTACAAGCCATGTTCTCATCCAGAAGGACATATGGCACAGTATTAGTCAGAGGAAGACCTGAACTTCAGAATCAACAGTTTTGGCAGGTAATCTTCCACACATTCTCATGTGGTAAAGGTAAAGGGACCCCTGACCCTTAGGTCCAGTCATGACCGACTCTGGGTTTGTAGCGCTCATCTCGCTTTATTGGCTGAGGGAACCGGCGTACAGCTTCCGGCTCATGTGGCCAGCATGACTAAGCCGCTTCTGGCGAACCAGAGCAGCGCATGGAAACGCCATTTACCTTCCCGCCAGAGCATTACCTATTTATCTACTTGCACTTTGACCTGCTTTCGAACTGCTAGGTTGGCAGGAGCAGGGTCCAAGCAACAGGAGCTCACCCTGTCGCGGGGAATCGAACCACGACCTTCTGATCGGCAAGTCCTAGGATCTGTGGTTTAACCCACAGCGCCACCCACGTCCCTTCTTCTCATGTGGTAGCACACTATATTTTGAGGGTAACCGGTGAAACTAATGTGTCTATAAACTCTACCCATGCTCACATTTTCAGCTTCCTTTCTCTGCCCACTGCATAGAAATGAAAGAATAGTCTATGCTTTAGTCAGCCTTCCTTTTTTGTGTCTATTTTGTATGTGAACCAGCTGAAACTACAGTGTATAATGGGTGCTAATGATGTTTTTAGTGGTGACCAATTCCTCAGCCAAATTTCATTCCTTGCAAAAAGAGTACCATTGTTATTATGTCGCTGCCTCCAGAATATATACATCTATCTCAGTGGGTAGGGTATTAGACTCTTAATCTCAGGTTGTTCATTGCAGGGAACTTGATTATAGGGCACTTGTGTTCCCTTCCACTTTACAATTCTATGAAGTCAAGAACGGCATGGTGCATCTGCAGCAGCACAGCTGGATGTCTCCATCTGCCCCAGCTGCAACAAAACATGACTCTTCCATATCAGTCTCTACAGCCACAGCAGGCACTGGAACTTCCCAGCAGTTTGACCTCACTCACAAAGGCACCATATAGTCAGAAAAATGCAGCTCTTCTTTAAAATATATTTCTAAAGTGTCATTTTTTTAAGTTCAACATTTTACTCACTACTCTATTAATGCAACTATTTATTTCTTTATTATTTCCTTTTCTTTTTTCTAGCTCCATCACTTTCTTCAAAGTGTTTCATTTAATAACAGTGCTGGGGACAAGATTTCTTTTGATGAAAGTGGGAAAATGATAGCTGCAATTGATGTTATAAACTTGATCATTTCCTCCAACCAATCCTTTCATAAAGTAAAAGTTGGTAGGCTTGATCCTCAGGCTCTTCCAGACAGAGTGTTAACCATCAATGACAAGGTCATAAGGTGGAACAGCTTCTTTAACCAGGTAAGATCTAACTGTCAGTACATTGAAAACTATTTCTGATTTGCAATGTCAACTTTTACATAGGGGACCATAAACCTCTGCTTTGCCTTATTTGATATTGAATTTTGATAAATTGCAAGATTTCTTCCATTGGAGTCTCTCTTTCAGAGTCAAGTAACAATTATTTTGGATCCCAACATGCAATACATTTTGGAAAACTGCTTTGAGGTATTTTACAATCCATTAATTATATATATATATGCTCTAGCTATTTATAATTTTTCATAACATAATGGCTTCCTTATTCTCTAAGAAACAAGTCCTCAAAATCTTAAGGATCCCAAGCTCATTTTTTCTTGTTGTTTTTCATTTCTGGATTAGGCACAACCTTTATCCATATGCACTGAGAGTTGTTATCCTGGTTATAGCAAGAAAGTGAAGGAGGGGGAGCCATTTTGCTGCTATGATTGCATTCCATGTCCAGAAAGGAAGATTTCAACTCAGAAGGGTAAGACATATACTTATGCCCTCTCCTCCATCCACCTCCAACACAAATCTCATTTCCATGCAGCTGATTGTTCACACTTATAATGTCCATCTCCTATGGTGTGCTCTTTTTCTTAATGCCGATTAAAACCCATTATAAGAAGAAACTCCACATCCAGGGGCAATTTAGGGGGGTTTCACATCATGTGAAGTGCATAGCACCAAGTGCCCCCTGCCCGTCCCCCGTGGTGAGCCATTGAGGCACAGGCAGATTGCCAGTACCTCCCATATCCTGAGAGTTTCATAGGGGGTGGTTTAACCCCTTCCATCTCCTTTTTTTCAGCCTGTTCTTCTCTCCAATGTTGAGAGAGCCATTGCCATGGCACGATACAGGAACCAGAAGCCTGAAACAAAAAGTTTTGAAGGTAATGGCCACTCAGCAGCATTCTGGATGGGCAGGGGTTGTGGCCCAGCCAATTCCCCCCACCTTTGAAAACCATTTTCTTGTGTCTGGCCATTGGAACCCTCTACAGCCAACCATAAGGGCTTGCAGGATTGCCCAACAATATTGAATCTGAACTGGGCAAAAATGCAGCAGACTGTAGTGAAGAAGTCTTCACTCTGGTCCACTTCCGGAGTATTTAAACCAATGGTAGCCACCAGCAACCTTCCATCCCACACCATATATACGGTATCTTAGTTCTTTGGTTCTTAGACTGTGCTGTGGTGCAAAATGGCCATCGTATTCTTGGCCAGGAAGGAATTTGCCCTCAAACAATTTGAGCCTGTTGTGGGGTTTTTTGCCTTCCTCATAGCAATTGTCACAACGAGCAAAGCCTAACAAGACCTAGCTAAGGATAGCAGGACAGCCTAATATATAGTACTAACCCCATCGTGTGTTACTTAGACTTAAGCATATTGGTTAAAGGAGGCTGGTTATCCCACAGTGCCATCTTTACATATCTTTAGGCCCCAGGGGAAAACATTCCTCTTCAATCAGGCTTTTCTCTGATTAAAGAATCTATGGCCCTTTGAATGAATTACCAGTATGTTATATATTTTGTGTTTGTATGTACCCCACCCTGTGATCTTTGGGTGAAAGGAGGTATCCAAATTTAATAACAATAAATTACCTTTGCTTTTCAGATATGCATGACTGTTATGACTGCATGGACACAACCTATCCAAACATCAAGCATGATTTTTGCATACCCAAAGCTAGAACATTCTTATCTTATAAAGAACCTCTGGGGATCAGCTTAAGCCTCTTCGCACTTTCCTTTGTATTGATAACAGCTCTGGTGCTGGGAATAATTCTGAAGCACCACAACACTCCCATCGTCAAAGCCAACAACCGGAACCTCACATACATTCTCCTGATTTCCCTTCTGCTTTGCTTCATTTCTGCATTGCTTTTCATTGGCCATCCTGAACCGGTGACATGTCTTCTCCGACAAACTGCATTCAGCAGCATCTTTTCAGTGGCTGTTTCTTCTGTGCTGGCAAAAACTATCATGGTGGTTCTGGCATTTATGGCCACAAAGCCAGGAAGCAGGATGAGAAAATGGGTGGGGAAAAGCCTGGGCAACTCCATTGTTGCATCCTGTTCCCTCATGCAAGCAGGCATTTGCAGTGTGTGGCTGGCAACCTCTGCCCCATTCCCAGATGTGGACATGCACTCAGTGACTACAGAAATTATATTAGAATGTAATGAGGGATCTGTCATTTTGTTTTCTTGTGTCTTGGGCTATCTTGGCTTCTTGGCTATTGTCAGTTTCGTTGTGGCTTTCTTTGCTCGGAAGTTACCGGACAGTTTCAATGAAGCCAAGTTCATCACTTTCAGCATGTTGGTCTTTTGCAGTGTCTGGCTTTCCTTTATTCCAGCTTATGTGAGCTCGAAGGGCAAATACATGGTAGCTGTGGAGGTTTTTTCTATTTTAGCTTCCAGTGCTGGGTTGCTGGGTTGCATCTTTGCACCCAAATGTTATATCATTTTGTTGAGGCCTGAGCTGAACAACAGGGGACAGCTGGTAAGAAGATAAGATACATGCTTTTTGTTACAGTCTGTGGTCTGGATGCATGTGTGCACACATGCACACACCTTTCTGATATGTTTCCCTTTCTGGAGCTGTTCGATATATATTTTGCTCAAAATTCTCCAATCACTACTAGTTTGAAATACATGTGAAACTCAGAATCAACTTTTTAAAAAGTATATACAGAAGGTATACAGAAGTGATACAGACTTACGTATGTACAGAAAGTATTTTTAAGTCAGACACATTCAAGAACTATACAGCAACACAGAAATGAGGATCAGAGTCGGTTTAAATGAAGATATGATGGTATGCATTTTATTATAGTCTGTGGTCTGGTAATATTTTAAATTATACAGAGATTCATAATATTTTAAAGAAAATAATAAGAATTCAAGAAGAGTGTGACTTGGCTAAAATGAGCTTGCTTGTAGGAACTTACTGAAGCCTGCTGCTATTCATCAATTCCGGCTAGCAATGTGAAGAATCTTCTTCTGCAGGAACAGCTTGAGCTGCACCTACAAAGTGATTTGTTTTTGTTTGTCACTTGATGTAACCCCATCTGCCCATAAAAACAGCCTATTGAGGAACCTTAGAGTGGTATTCTATCACGTCTGGATTTGGGTTTAGTTAGTCCTGAATCCTCCCATGTCAAATTGGTACTATTCTGTAAAGCCGAATATGCTTCAGTTAGGGTCAGAAGTGGAATGGAACATGCCAATGAGGCATTAATTGTGTATGATCTAATCAGATGTTGGAGGAAGATGTACACAAAGTCCTATGCAGAAATACAGTATCTATATGTATGAAAATGCAGCAGCTATTAATTCAGAATTTTGAATATTTACACAGAAAGCTTACTATCTCTCCAGTGTGCATAAACTTTGTCAAGTTACAAAGAAAAAGCTCTGTGAGTTTGTTCATTTGTTTAAAATGAACTGCTTACAATTTTTATAATTTTAGAAGAATTGTATTAAATTCTCAAGTGTATCACACCCTACTTATGTGTAATGAGTATGAGTTACTCGTGCGTAAACTGGTGCCTCTCTAGGCTAATTTGCCTTGTTAAACCTTTCTGACTGCACAGCCCTTTCTAATTGTGACTGCCTCAGTCGCTGGCAGAATCCGTCAGTGGGCGTTTCTTGAACCTCTTCCAACATAAAAGTTGTTTGACACCCAGTCTCCTCCTCCTCTCACTGCGCGGGAGTCTTCTGCGCAGGGAGGGCGTGGGTAGCGGAGGACCTGTCCCCTCCTCACTGAGTTCCAGTGAAGAGTCCTGGAGCCCTCTCTCCGATTTCCCCATCTGCCCCCCTTTATCCCTGGTGTTGCGCTTAAATGCTTCCCCCTCTACTGAGCTGTTTCTCCCCCTGCTGCTGGGTCCTTCTCCAGCATCATTTAGGAGCCTCCCCTTCGCCTCTCGCTCCGATGTCAGTTCTCTGACATTATGGGATGAATCCTGCCTAATTTCAGAAGGATACCTGCAGTTGACTTTCTATGAGGCCATCACTAGCATGTATGAGGTCATTAAAAAGAAAATACCATACATCATAGAGGTGTCCCTAGGTGGGAATACTTCCAAATTACAGAGAAATAGTAATTGTCTTTGTGCATTGCTATTCATTGGCCACCCTCAGAGGGTAGCATATCTTCTCCGACAAGCTTTTTTGGCACCATCTTATCAGTGGCTGTTTCCCATGTCCTAGCCAAAACCATCACAGTGGTACTAGCTTTCATGGCCACCAAAATAAATAAAAAATCCTTCCAGTAGCACTTCAGAGACCAGCTAAGTTTGTTATTGGTATGAGCTTTCATGTGCATGCACACTTCCACCAAGCCAGGATCTCAGATGAGGAAGTGGGTGGGGTGAAAGCTGGCCACGTTCATTATTCTTCTCTGTTCCCTTATCCAAGCAGTTATTTGTTCAATATGGTGGGCAACCACTCCACCATTCCCTGATATTGACAAGGATTTCATGGCTGAAGAAATTGTACTGCAATTCAATGAGGGGTCTGTGGCTATGTTCTGCCATGCCTTGGACTATTTGGGCTTTCAGGCCATTATCAGTTTCACAGTTACTTCCCTTGCTCAGAAGTTGCCAGAAAGTTTCAAGGAAGCCGAATTTACCACATTCAGCTTATCAGTGTTTGGTAGTATTTGGTTGTCCTTTGTTCTAAGCTATATGAGCTCCAAGGGAAAATACTGTACCTAGTGGCTGTGCAGATATTTTCCATCTTGTCTTCCAGTGTTGTCATGCTGGGTTCTGTATTTTCTCCAGAGTGTTATGGAATTCTGTTGAAGCTTGAGCTGAGCAGTAGGCAACAGTTGATATGAAGAAAGATTCAGGTAGGTAGCCGTGTTGGTCTGACGAGGTCAAAATAATTTTCAAAAAATTAAAACATTTTTAAAAATAAAAAATTGTCTAGTAGCACCTTAGAGACCAACTGAGTTTGTTCTAGGTATGCGCTTTTGTTCCTCTTTTGACAGACAGTAGAGGGAGAAGTAGAAGACTGGGGGGGGGGAGGCATTGGAAGCTGAATAGATAACAGAATTTAGTGAGTAGGAGTGTCAGAGACGTTCCTCTTTTGACAGAGAGGATTCAGAATTGGAGGAAGAAAGGACAGGCAGTGAGGAATTCCAAGGGGTGGGGGAAGGAGTCACAGCACACAGATAGGCAATTTACCAGTTCTGATAATGACACAGACAGAGGAGAAGATACTGCAGAGGGGGAGGGGGTTGAGTCTCCCAGAAGCAGACGCTGGAGTCACTTAATGGAAAAGCAACTCATGGGGAAAAGGAAGAGGAAAGGGTGGAGATCATGTTTCGGTCCGAAGAGATTAGTTTTGGCAACTGGTAGTGAGAGTGATGAGTAATGTAGCGAAGCTCCGTGTACAAAGCTTGCTAATTGCTAATAAATCTAAGTAAGAAAATAACCAGAGAGCTTGTCATGTGTGGAAGAGCCTACAGACCTGACAAGGAGGAGTTTGAGGCAGAAAGCAGTCAGTAGGATAGGAGGCAGAAAAGAGGCATAGGTGCCTCCCTCTCCCTGCTGTGATAACTCCTCTCCACCTTTGTCTCCCAGAACCAAAAGAAGCATGAAAAGGGTGGAACAAAGACAGGTATGCAGGCACAATCTCTGATTGCTTGAAAAAAAGAGAGAGGAGGGCCTTAGACAGCTGTGGGGAGGCAGGGAACTTCAGTCTCCACTCCTTCACAGAGCCAAGGTCTACCAAAGAAGAGTTGCTGTGTTTATTAGGCCTGGCACTCCTGTGCAGAACCTGTTTTTTCTAGTAAACAGTTAACTCCATCTACTTTGTGTAATTTACTGTTGGTTGGCTTGTTCCAGACAGTGAGACCTAAAAACTGCCTTCTCACTTATGAGGCCTTTTGATAGGGTTAGGATCTCATTTGGGGCTCACTTTGTAACATTCACTTGAAGTTTGGGGCTTCCCTAACCACTTTCTAACCACTTTTGGATGCTTTTTCATCTCTGTTCAAAGCACCTGCCTTTTGGCTCTTGGCTTACTGACCATACATTTTTAGAAAATGAAAATGTGCTCAACTGTTGGGGGAGTGATTTGACATAGCTTGTGTTTTCTTTCCTTGTACAAGGGCATGCGATTTGCTCTTTCTGAATTTCTGAGACCATAAAAAATAATTATTTTATTTTTACCAACTGTTACGGTAAAATCTGGGTGTGAGACTGCTCTGCCACCCAGCTCGTCGGACTAAGTCTGCGGGTCCCTGCGGAGAAAATGAGCGCAGCCGGAGACAGGAGCAAGATGCAGAAGATCCACGTTTGTTGCGCAACAGGTTCAAGGCAAGATTGAACCCCGAGGATGGGGTGACATGAACTTTTAAAACTTCCCTCCATGTCCCAGAATACAGTGCAAAATCATCATCAATACATCACGGTTACATCATGAATACATTAAGAAAGGGTTGGGTTACACAGGATTAACATATGGAGGAGAGAGGGGGGAATATGCAGAGCTGGAGATATGCACAGATAAGTACATCCTGAGTACCGGTGGTGAGAGGACAATAGTCCAGGTATGCATAGTCTGCCACCTGGCACTGCCCAGAGGAAAGGCTTGGCAGAGTGATTTGATGGGATTAGGGTCTTCCTGAGTGTACGTGATACCTTGCTTGAGGGATTATGAAGGACAGTGGAGGTGTCATGGAGTCCTAGAGAAATTAGGCAGATTGGCACCGAAAGCAAGAAAATTGGTGCTACGGTTGATTTTCTATGAATTTTTATAGATTTTAGCCCATTTTTACATTGACAATTGAATTCGGAAATAACTGGATACATTGTAGCGAGATTTTGACAGGTTTACGAGTTTCGATTCCATTGTTCTCCCTGCGGGGAGCCGTCAGCAGCTTGTCAAAGGTTAAATGAGGCGTGCAACAGCTCGAGCTGAGCTAGCTCTGCAGGGGCGAATGCATTGTTCTGATTGGGTAGAATGCTCCCATTCATGAGATACAAAATACTACTTCACACAGTCTACCAATGGAAACAATTGAGCGGGAGGGAGGCATAAGGCGTTCGGGCTTATTTCGCCCGTAATAACAAACTGGCGTAGGGAAGGGAAGAAGGCACTTTTATTTATGGGGCTTGGGGTTAAGTGTGGTGCTTGTGCAACGGTGTGGGCGCTGAGGGGTCCATGTAGGGCCGGGTGCCCTTGAGGTCATTGCCTCGGACCCTCTGGTGACCGGCGGAAGGGGTGAAGAAAACATGCCTCCCCTTCTGTATCAGTAACCAAACAATATGAACAAAAATGAAATAAATGAGGGGGATGTCAGAGAACTGGACTTTCTGACAAGCAGCGAAAGAGCAGGCACAGAGGAAGAGGGGGGAGAAGCAGTTAGCCACAGGAATTTGACCTTTGTACACACACACACAGAGAGAGAGAGACAGAGAGCAGAAATTCAGCTGCAAGGCTCAGATAGTGACACAGACATAGAAATAGAGAGTGTGAAATCATCCTGAGCGCGTAGACTCACGAGATCAGCCAAGAAGCACAAAAATTACAGGAAGAGGAGGTGGGGGTTTTCCTGTTGAGGGAGAAGGGAGCGGAGATCAGTCCTGGCAACTGTGGCATCGGAGGAAGACTGAAATTAGCGGAGTGGCTTTTTGTTGAACCAATAAATCCTAATTAATTAACTGCCACAGTCATCTCGTGTGTGTGGGAGAGACCCAAGCCTTACAGGAGAAGTGTTTGCAAAATGTTTATATTAGTCAAAAGTGTATTTAGAACTTGTTCATTAAGATAAATTTGCACTACAATGCTGTTGAATTTTCATGAGGATTTTAAAAAAATTGCTTCAGAAATGTGCAGAACTGAATTAAAAACGGTAAAACTAAAAAACAGAGATTAACCAAAACTGACAAATCTGTTTATCCCTAGAGACACACATATATTTTTCCTCCCACATATTTATATTCTCTAGCTCATAGATACCAGTAAATAATTTCTATGACCAAACACTTTTATTTCCTGTCTGACTCCAGAACAAAGCCTTGAATTTTTGATTTCCTTCCCTTGCTGTCCTAAATTTCCCCCCTTATTCAACTAAGTAGAATTAAAAACATCTGTTCAGATGTGACAAATATGTTTGTCCAAAGGGAAGGTAATCACCATTCAAAACTGGAAATTCTCTAGAGAAAACATGTTTGTCACATCTGAATAGAGGTTTTCAAAAGTGTAATTATTTCATATGCTTGTCAAAAACCTTTGTTATGTTACAGTGATCAGTACTAAAACCAATCAGACATTTGTGAATGATGGTACAAATATACCTTTCAGTTGTCAGAGCTGGAATTAGGGACTAGAAGAAGCAAGGATCAACCAAACAATACTTTTCATTTGCACTCCACAGTTCTCACACACATTAGGTGACTAAATGGCCAAGTACGTCAGGCCATTTTAGTCAGTTTATATGAAATTAGGGCATTTCTGTGTAAATAGAAGGTTTGTATCAAGAATGATTTTATTATTAGTCTTGCTGATGACAGGATTTCCTCATGCAATATGCAAGCCACAGATTGTTAAATGCAGTGCCCACAACTCACACATTCCACTTCACAGTTATCATCAGGAAGGAGACCTCATCATTGGTGGCATTGCCTCTCACAGCTTCATCATCTCCAGTCCAATATCCTTTCATGAAGAACCACCACCACCATCATATGATGAGATAAAGTAAGGACATAAAATATTTAACATTAAAATTACAATTCTTTTTGATAAATGGTTATTTAGTGTATAATAAGAATGTTATAAGCATTAGCATACATGTATATGACTGTATGAAATAATAGCTTCAAATGGTTTTGATCCTTATCCATTGCTTAAGTACATCCTACTTTCAACAAGTACCTAACTTAAGCAAGTGCAGGTTATTTCAATTTTTGAATATGACCATCTGATGTTGTTTAGCTCTCTAATCATGCCTAGAAAGCTCCATGATGTGGATTTTGTCAAGAAATGTTTTTGCATCAATAAAGTAATGCATGATACTCATGGAAGTTGTGTGGTGATAATTTTACAAAGTGTGGCCTATGTTTCTGATTCAAAATATCACTTTCTTTGTAGCGTGGTGCCTAAGCATTACCAGCACATTCTGGCCTGGGCATTTGCTGTAAAGGAGATAAATGAAAACCCTCAGATCTTACCCAATACCACTTTGGGGCTCCTTATTTATGACAGCTATTTCAATGCCAAGTGGACGTACCATGCCACAATGCTTCTTATATCTGCCTTGAGCAAGTTTGTCCCCAACTACATATGTGATACTGAGAAAAATCTGATAGCAGCCATTGGGGGACTGGACTCCCAAACTTCGCTTCATGTGGCAGTAGTTTTGGATATGTATAATATTCCACAGGTGGTATCTTCTTTCTTTCTTTCTTTCTTTCTTTCTTTCTTTCTTTCTTTCTTTCTTTCTTTCTTTCCCTCTGAGTGAGACAGGATAGGATTTTGTTTGGAAATGGAAATGTGGGCATTTCTAGTGATTAAATGGACCATATAGCTTGTTTAAATATGAGATCTAAGCTAAGGATACATTATTGATGATTTATGAATAAAAAAAGCTAGACCTGGATGAAAAGGAAGAAGTGACAGAGAACAATTGGAGTAAAATAAATTACATTATTAGGAGCAGCCTACAAGAACCAAGGCAAAAAAAAAGTTAAGAAGTGTATCTTTCATGGAGGAAGTTCTGCAGATGCGAGGCAGGTGCAGCAGTTTGACTTTGTAGTAATGCCTCAGTAAATGTTAAAGGCAAGCATATTCATAGGTGAGAAATAATTGATTCATATAGGAACATGTGGTCATGCTTTGAACATTCAAAACTGTATTGTTAAAACAATGTCATTCAAATTCTTTCTCTTCTCTGCCCAAACATTGTTTAGCTCATATATGGCTCTGCTCCAGTGATGAATAGTAAAGTGTCAAGTGCTTCCTTCTACCAGATGGTCCCTAAGGAAGCTCTCCAGTATGAGGGAATTCTCTCTTTGCTTCTACATTTCAGGTGGATGTGGATTGGGGTCAGTGTTATGGAAACCGACAATGGAGAACAATTTGTGCAAAGTGTGGTTCCACTTTTTGCCCAGAGTGGTATCTGTTTGGCCTACATAGAAAGAATTCCCAGACCAACATTAGTCACAGAAATTTTGGAAATGTTTGTCCGGGGGGCAAAAATACGCGACAGAATCATGGAAAGCAATGCCAATGTAATAGTGATCCATGGTGAATCTTATTCTTTGACAATTTATAGATGGTTTGACTATCTATCAGAATTAGAACATGTGGCAAATAAACCCAAAGTATGGATAGCAACAGCCCAGGTGGAGCTCACTTCATTTGTCTATCAGAAGACATGGGATACAGAACTAATCCATGGTTCTCTGTTATTTACAATTCACTCCAATGACCTCCCAGCATTTTCTGAGGCTGTTAAGGACAGAAACCCTTCCAGCGTAACAGGAGATGGATTTATCAAGGACTTTTGGCAACAGGCTTTTGTTTGTGAATTCCCTACAGGTGGGGGCAAGGTGGAGGGAGATATTTGCACTGGGAAGGAGAAGCTGGAGAGCCTTCCTGGACCTTTTTTTGAAATGAGATTGACTAGCCACAGCTATAGCATCTACAATGCTGTCTATGCTGTGGCCCATGCTTTGCATGCTATGTCTATATCCAGAGTCAGATATAGAGGAGGAATGAAGCTTCAGACTCAACAGTGCTGGCAGGTAAGAGACTGAACATCACCTTGTGACTCACTCTTTGTGCTCACACTTTCACCTTCATTCCTCTTGACATTGATTGGAAATGATACCACATAATGTGTTTTCTCTAATTGCCACCTCCAACTTGTAAACCCAAGTTTACTATCATAATGTAAAACTGAATGGATCGGGATCAATTTATGAGTAATTGTGGCATCAACTTCCAGGCTAATTTTTTTTTTTTAATAGTTTGACTGTATAAAACCAAAACACACTTTTTGAAACAATATCTTTGACATAATCTAACATATTTGATTAGATTTTATAATTAGCAAATCAACAACAAATAAAAAAAATAAAACCACTATTTCACGAGTCCACAACAATAAAGAATCTTAATATTATTCTTTTCCTCTTTTAAGCAAACTCTTGAATATTTTTGTGAGGAATAATATTCCATTCGATAGCATTATGAATTCTAACATGGCCACATCATTTTAAAAACAGATAAATTGGTCAAGGAAATGGCCATGAAACAGCTGCAAGCTTTCTTCAGTGTTCTGAATGTGAGACCCACCAGTGTTTGGGGAAGGCGACATTTGGGCCCCCAAGCACTGTTGATCCAGTTGGCGGGATCTGCTATTGGAGGTTGAGCAGGAAAGGGGATTTTTGCAGGGAGGGGGATTTCCTTACCTTCTGCAGTGCCTCACCCCCAAAACAATCTGAAATATGTTCTGGAGAACTGGATAAGCATCTAGAATTGATTTTGTACCCATGTGCTGGGGATTAGAGAGGGGGAGAGAAATGTCCATAATTGCCTTTGCTGCTTTGGCTCAAAAAAATTGAATCTAGCCTGCAAGGAACATGGTGCAGCTGCTGCTGCCACCTTGGCAGCAATAGCAGGTGTTGCATTCCTTGGAGCAGAGCTTTCCAAACTGTGTGTTGCAACACATTAATGTGTTGGCTGCAGCATGTAGGTGTGCCATATGAACGTTCCTTGTGCTCCTCCCTGATCAGGAGTGTGCAGATCAAGAGATATGTTGGGTCCCCATACATTTCACTTTTACAATTCATGTATGTGTCCCTATCTCTTATAAGGGGTTAGTTAAACCTCCGGTTTGCTAGTAAAACTGAATTACTGTGTTGCGAAATGATACATGTCTAAAAAGTGTGTCACCAGCATTAAAGTTTGGAAAGCTCTGCCTTGGAGGCTAAATCTGTTGCTGCTGTGGATCCTGATGCCTGAGGCAATCTCCTCGCCTAACCTCATGGGTGTGCTGGCCTTGCCTCTTAGCAGCTGTGCTCTCCTTATGTTGTCTCTTAGGTCAATCATATCTGAATAGGGGTAGAGTTGATTCTTCTGTTCTTCAAAAATGATTCAATCTCTGGACTCTTCCGCTCAAAATATTCATCAACTGTGGCTTTTCCTCTATCACCTTACTAACTTTTTACACCATATACAGTATGGGGAACCTGTTACACTCCAGACACAATTGAAGTCCCGCTTTCTTCACTGTCTGCCAGTATGGGCAATGGTTAAGGATAATGGAGTATAATATCTGAAAGGCTGCAATTTCCCTCATCTCTAGTATATACTTTCAGTCAGTGCTTTTTTTAAAAAAAAAATGTTTAGGGGTACTCTCATTTTCTTACTCATATTGAAATACTGCCCCTCAATGAGGCCAAACTTAGATTCACAAAACATTTAGGGGTATGTGTCCCCCTGCATTTCCCCAGAAAAAAGCACTGCTTTCAGTGCCGAGCTCAACACAGAGGTGGAGCTCAACACAGAGATTTGTTCCATAAACTTGCTGGAGTCGGCTGAGTCTGGAGCCAAATCAGGCCTATTCAGAGGGGTCTGTGCATCTGACATCCCTGCAGGAAAGCCACTTGTGAAGCAGCAGCCCCTGGGATCAATGCCTCAATGCAACAGCAATGAGATTTATCATGCATGATGGAGGATGCTCTTTTACAAGAGGCTTCCCTGCAGAAAAGTCACTTTGGAAGAAGCACCCCACAGAATTGATCCCACTCTGCTCACAGAGTGAGGGTAGCAGATGCAACATGTGCTTCTTTCTGCTCATCTTCCAGCCATACTGGTATGATGGTGATGATGAAAGCATGGGCCAAACTGACTGAGTCCTCTGGATTGAGCTAATGGCAAATATGGGACATGGGCTGTGTCCACCCATAGTATATACATCATTGTAATTTTGCTGATTCATGTAGTGCATCCTCCTGCAAACTCTGGGTCGAAAATAGTGAGCACTTATCTACCACTCTTCAGTTTCCAAGATCAAATTACAACCTTTTCTAAACTTTTTTCTTGTCCTTTTCAATCTAGCTCCATCTCTTTCTACGTGGTGTCACATTTAACAACAGTGCTGGAGACAAGATTTTTTTTGACAAGAATGGGGAGTTAACAGCTGGGTTCGATGTTATCAACTGGGTCAAGTCCTCCAACCATTCTTATCATAGAGTAAGAGTTGGAATGATGGATCCCCTGGCTCCCCAGGGTCAAAGGTTTACCATCAACGAGAAGGTCATAACCTGGCCCAGATCATTTAACCAGGTAGGCACTGGCTGTTTGGATGGTCTACCACTATCTTATTAAGGGCTCTTACCTGGTATGCAAAGCTGATTTCATCTGACAGTGGTCGACCCTTGAAAAATACTGAATTTCATCTGTAAAAACAGTTATTAAGGCAAAACAACAACAACCCCAAAGACTTCTGTACTGTTTATGTATTGATCAATATATTCATTAGCAAGAGAATGGAGGAGGATTACCTGCATAGGCACCTCTTTTCCCTTCTTCTTGTAATTTGTGGAACTGCAGTCATTGGATGTTATTCAACTCAGTCATACTCGAAGCCAATTCATTGATATCAATGGTCTGGTTAATCTGGATTATGTTCAGTGATTTCAGTGGATCTGCTCTTACTAGGAAGTGGAAAAGCAATATCTATAAATGAAAACACAGCCCTAAGTGAGGTCTTCTTTGGCGGGGTGGGATAGATGAACTATTTAAAACTGTCTTTTTCATCTTTGACAGAAGTCTTTGTTATTTGCAGGCATATCATTCCACTCTGAGGGGATGGACCATGCTTAATTTCAGAAGCATATCTACAGTTTATTTTCCCCTAAAGGGGCATCCTTTACCGTTTGAGAGAACGGAGCTTGATTGATTGGTTTTCCTTTCTGATATCCCTAAACTTATATAATTAGGATTCAAATGCATAGTGCACAGCAGCTGCAGTGTGCTACGCATTTCCTGGAGGTCAAATCTGCTGCCCCTTTGGATCCTGCCATCTGAAGCAGTGACCTTGTTTTGCCTCATGTATGGGCTGACACTGCCCTTTTCCAAAGCACAGTGATTGAAAAAGCCATGATAAATGCATTACCACTCATTAGGAATTAGACCTGTCAGTCACAAAGAGTCTCCCCATCCTGAACCTGTCAGGTGTTCTTCAGAGTCCCCCCTCACCGCAATTGCTCGTTTTTTGGGAGAAGGGGGGTAGAAATTGTAGCAAGTTTGAGAAGAAATGTTTCAGTTTTTGCAGACACAAGGTCTATGCAGAATCATTTTAGAGGCCTCTGCTTCACTTTGGGGTGCTTTCAAGAGATCCTACTTCAGTTCACAAACCCTTTATCTGTCCAAGGGGTTCCCTCAGTTCAGCATCGAGGTTACATGCAAAGTCAGGGCACAGCACTATTAACAACATTCCCAACATGTCCAATATTAGCATGGTTGTAGAACACATTGAGTAACAGCCCCAAACTTCTTCACAAACAGTGTAAAGGCCCAGTACTTTCAAGTGTCTAAGATCATTATTCTCAAAATAGTCATTGTCCTCTTTCATTTATGGTTTAGGTTCAGCCTCGCTCTGTATGTAGTGAGAGCTGCTATCCTGGTTTTAGCAAGAAAGTGAAGGAAGGGGAACCGTTCTGCTGCTATGAATGCATCCCCTGTCCTGAAGGGAAGATTTCAGATAAGAAAGGTAAGAAATATACTCCAACATTCAATGAGTGCATCAGCTGTAAAACATATAAAGCAGTGGTGAGGAATCTTTCTAGCCATGTGGACCAGTATTTAATCTCCTTCCACACTAGGGGGAGTTCTTATTAAGATCATAGCAGGGTATTAAAGGGATAATACAGTCAAACCTCAGTTCCCAGACGCCTCCGTTATCATACGTTTCAACTTGCAAATGCTGAAAAGTCCCCCCCCCTTTTTTCTCCATTGACTTTCGACCGCCCTTGGATCCTCGGATGTCAAATATTTCAGAAGTCGAAGGGTCTTCCAGAACAGATTATGTTTGACAACCGAGGTTTGACTGTACTCACCTTGCACATTATGATCCTGATCATTCACATGAATGAAAGAAATCTTGCAATTTCAAATGACATGCGCAGCATCACATCTAGCTGAGGTCTTGGCTGTGGGAGGGTGTGAATTCTTCTTTGAAGCAAGTAACCTTCAGGCCATTCTCCCCAAATGACATTAACCTGCTCAATACCTGATACAACAGGTGATGTCAGATAAGGGGCAGAATAAATTGTGTTGCCAGTGTACAATTGGGAACCTTAAAGTGGGGCTCACTGTTGCCAAAAAGCAGCTGGTTGGTGGTGAGAGCAAACTATCTGGGATCAGCTGTGCTATGGAATGCCACATGGTGAACTCTGTAGCACAGCTGGTCCAAGCAAAAAGAGAAAGCTTATGTCAGGTCCTATCAGCTGGTCGGCACTGACTTCAAGCTCTATGAGTCTGGCTGCAGTATAGGGGCTTGCATAAAGCTGGACAGGGCTCTTTGAAAGCTTCTTCTTGTAAACAGCCCAAGCAAAGAGCCCTTTTCATTTTTCAAAGTTAAGATTAGCCTGCAAAAAAAGTTGACAATTTTGGGTATGAAAATTAATCACTATCTCTTCATCATAGTTATTTGATTGAATCAAAATATATTTAGGGAGTGGTGTTAACATAACTGTCCTGAACAAACCTAGACTGATGAAGACAAGTTAATGACATTTTAGTTCTTTATTAGGAAAGCACTCAGCTCCTAAGGTGCAAAGGATTTACACACTACTTCCTGCTAACTAGCTGTCTAGGCAATCTACCTCTGCATACCTGTGCTCTGTCTCAGACAGTTAATACAACTGTGTGACCGCATCCCCTATGCTGCCTTCTTCTTCTTCATTAAATTTCTATACTGCCCTTCATTCCAGGATCACAGCACAGTTTACAATATAAAAACACAATAATACATTCCATAGTAACAAATGAAAACAAAACCCCAGAGTTTAAAAGGTCGTATATTGTTCAATTAGCAAACGCATGGGAGAGGAGGAATGTTTTTGCCTGGTGCTTAAAGATATGTAACAAAGGTGGCAGGTGAGCCTTCCTAGGGAGAGCATTTGACAAGCAGGGAACTGGCCTCCAGACCTATCACGGAGAAGGGCAGAGGGAATGCTGAACACATGACTTCACGATTTCCTACAGCCCTTCCTGAAGATCTTCCTCTGCCTCCTTTTTTCCTGAGTCTGCCTGCCTGGTCTCTTCCTTATGACTCCCCTCTTCCTCCACCCCGGCAGCTGCCTTACAGGTGGAAGAGGACCCGACAAAACACTGTCTCCTTCCTCGGATGATCCTCTTCCTCACCAGCCTCCTCTGCCCCCTCAGACTCCTGTTTGTCGCTGACAATAACTCTATTCTTAATTCAGTCTGTAATTTGAAGAGAATATGTGGTATTTTACCCTATAAATATGGACCCTGTTACTTCTGTAGTACAGTTTCACCTGTTTCTTTTTCATTCACCTGTTTCTTTTCATTTTTCTTTTTTTCAGAATGGTTTCATATTTGTTTTTCTCTTTATGTATGTATAGTGTTTCTTCTAAAATATTAAGTAGTTTAAGAATGCAATTGAATAAAATTAATATGTATATTCTAATATGTAGAAAAGTTCTGGCATGTTAAAAAGATATTCTCCCACAGATATGAATGACTGTCATGAATGCACAGATGAAAACCACCCAAACAAATATAAGGATTCTTGTGTTCCCAAGGATATAAGCTTCTTGTCTTATGAAGAACCTTTGGGAATCAGTTTAGCATCTTTGGCTCTTTCCTTTTCTTTGATTACGGCTATGGTGCTAGGATTGGTTTTGAGGCATCACAACACTCCCATTGTCAAAGCCAACAACCGGCAGCTCACCTACACTCTTCTCCTCTCCCTCCTCCTCTGCTTCCTTTCTGCATTGCTATTCATTGGACAGCCCCAGAAGGTGACATGTCTCCTCCGACAAGCAGCCTTTGGCATGATCTTCTCAGTGGCTGTTTCCTGTGTCCTAGCAAAAACCATCACCGTGGTTCTAGCTTTCATGGCCACCAAGCCAGGATCCCAGATGAGGAAGTGGGCGGGGAGAAAGCTGGACACTTTCATTGTTTTCCCCTGTTCCCTTATCCAAGCAGTTATTTGTTCTATATGGTGGGCAACCACTCCACCATTCCCTGATGTTGACAATAATTCCACGCCTGAAGAAATTGTACTGGAATGCAATGAGGGGTCTGTGGCTATGTTCTACTGTGTCTTGGGCTATTTGGGCTTTCAGGCTATTATCAGTTTCATGGTTGCTTTCCTTGCTCGGAAGTTGCCAGACAGTTTCAACGAAGCCAAGTTTATCACATTCAGTTTGCTAGTGTTTTGTAGTGTTTGGTTGTCCTTTGTTCCAAGCTATGTGAGCTCCAAGGGAAAATACATGGTGGCTGTAGAGATATTTGCCATCTTAGCTTCCAGTGCTGGGTTGCTGGTTTGCATATTTTCTCCAAAGTGTTACATAATTATGTTGAAGCCTGAGCTGAACAGCAGGGAACAGCTGATGAAAAGAAAGTCTTGAATGTTGTGCCCAAATAATGTGCACTGCTAGTTATCATAGTCTGCAATCCATACGTGTGTGTCCATGACCCCTAAGGTTTGCGAACATTTCTCTCTCAATATAGAATATTTTCGTAGTTGTTGAAATACCATGTAATATAAAAACGGCAAACTTCCATCCCAGAAGTATACAGCAACACAGAAATGAGGGTCAGAGTAGGTTTAAATGGTAGAATGATGACTGCTTTTAAAACATTATGAGGAGTGAAGCAATGTTGCATTCTTGCTCCCATGGTTTTTACTGATATAGTATACACCTCCTCTTTAGTAATTAGGATCAGAATTTTCCCAGCCTTGATTAGATGATTTAGTGGTTTTCTTTATTCTCTGATTCTGTCTCAAAAATCTTTTGGAGATCTCATCCGAAGATCTCAGGGCAGTTCATAAGATGGTTCCTGGATCAGCAGGTTATAGAAGAAACTCTTTCATTTAGATACCTGGGTGTTCTCTTTGATGAAACCCTCCCTTGGAAGTGTCATATGGATGCAGTTAAATAAAGACACAGAAAACCATTGGGGCATTAATGAAGTTATACTACAATAATGGAGGGCAGCTAATTGAACCTGCCTTAAAGATATTTGGCAGCAAAATGCTTACCCAAATGTTCTATGGCATTGAAATCTGGGGCTCTGAGTAGAACTTCATTATGTATTGTTTTGGAAACAATGCAGAATAATTACTTTCTACCATCAGGAATAGCAGCAGTTAATCTGAGTGGCCAACAATCAAAGCAAGAGAGGGCTATGCTCTGTTAAAAGTATGTTAAAAATGCTACTATGCCTCTTGAGCTTTTTCCTGCTCTGTGCTATTATAAATAGATATATGTGATGGGGAGTAAAGGAATGGGAGGGTTGCTATAAGCCTTGAACAGTAGAGGAGGTGACAAAATTATTTGGTCTACTTCTCACAGTTGGCCAACATGCTCAAGCTTTCTAGTGAATTGAAATTCAACTCTCAGTTCAATTATTTATTTACTTTATCTCTTAATTTTCTATACCACCCTTCATTCGATGATCACAGGACAGTTTTCAGTATAATTATGCAATTCTCCAGATTTTTTGATACAGCTTCTATACAAAAAATGGGCTTCTCTAGTTGCACACCTCACCTCTGCCCACAGTGCACAGCAGCTAGGGCCCACATTGTCTTGCCAGCCCTTAGGGGAATTCCCCAGCTGGCAGAATCTAGGAATCTCCACCCAAATACTGTCTTCAGATGGGCCGGTAGGAGGCCCTGCTGAAGGGCAGAGCCTTGCCAGCCGGATGGGCATTAGCTGTTGGCCATGTCTGGTCAGTCAGCGATGCATAAAAGTTGGCTACTCCTACCTTCTGCAGTACAGATATTTGACATAAAAGATGCAGACAAAATGTGCATTTTATGGATGAATGTATTGAAAAATATTTTATAATTAAATGGTTCAGATTTTACATAAAACTGTGTATTAAAGACATTCAATTTAAATTGGAGTTTTTTATGAAGCTGCTAAGAATATGTAAATACATACAATGAGTTGGAATGGAACAATAACTGAGCAAGAGTGATTATTATTCAATTTCTAACCCATGCTTCATCAGCAACAAGTATGTTCCTGTTCTCTGTCGCATACCACAGTACTGTAATTTGTGATGACATTCTCTTTCTGTGGATAATTCTAAATAGAAATATTCCTGTCTTGGGTGGGAGAAAATGTTCACTTGTGAAAAACAAATTTTCTTCTGCAATTCCACAGGGAATCTTCAAACCTGGATCTGGTGATTGTCTTTCCTTTAATTATCAAAAGAGCTGTAATTATTTTGCTGCTTGTAAAAAACAAAACAAAACTGAGGTGTTTTAGTGACCACTTGCTAAATGAGTAGCAAATACTGTGAAATATAAATATACCTAATACCATTTAGAAATAAGAAAAGGAACAAAGAAGATTTATACTCCTGTCTTTAAGTCTATCAGTACACTGAATGAATGCTCAAATCAAATTGTGACCATAGAGACTCTTATACTGCAATCCTATACATGCCTACTCAGAGGTAAGCCGTAATGAGTTCAATGAGACCTACTCCCAAGAAAGTATGTATAGGATTGCAGCCTTAATATTCAGCTACAGGTGCGGGGGGGGGGGGAGAATAAAAAAGTTTATCAAATGAAGATTTGCATTTGGATTCTAGGATGGTCCTATTAGTGCTGGTGGTGCTGGTTCTGCTTCCTCACATGGCATGCAAGGCTCATAATATTCAATGCAGGGTTCATTTTCCTCACCCTCCATTTGACAAGTATCATCAGTCAGGAGACCTCATCATCGGTGTTATTGCTTCCCAGAGCTTCATTGTCTCCAGTTCACTAACCTTCAGTACAGAACCTCCACCAGTATTATCTGATGAGCTTACGTAAGGATTTCTTAAAAAATATATTTAATTTTTTTATTTAAAAAACTAACACCCTGCTATTTTTTTAATTCCACAAAACAGTATAGTAAAGGCAGTAAAACTGCATTATAAAACCAATAAGAAGTAAAAACAGAAATTCTGAACTAACAGGATCCAATCTCATGGGTTGGGAAGAGCCTAGGCAGAATGATAACAAGACATCCAAAACAACTAATAGATGGTGCCTTTTGTATGACAGATGATTTTTTTGTATGATTGTTGTTGTTGTTGTTTAGTCATTTAGTTGTGTCCGACTCTTCGTGACCCCATGGACCAGAGCACGCCAGGCACTCCTGTCTTCCACTGCCTCCCACAGTTTGGTCAAACTCATGCTGGTAGCTTTGAGAACACTGTCCAACCATCTCATCCTCTGTCGTCCCCTTCTCCTTGTGCCCTCAATCTTTCCCAACATTAGGGTCTTTTCCAGGGAGTCTTCTCTTCTCATGAGGTGGCCAAAGTATTGGAGCCTCAGCTTCACAATCTGTCCTTCCAGTGAGCACTCAGGGCTGATTTTGTATAATACAGTGCCACAAGGAACCTATGTGACCTATGTGGTCTGAAAGGTCTGTTCGGGGGCAGGCACTCCTTCAGGTAACCTGGTCCCCAGTTGGTCTGGGCTTATATGGTGGTTAAGTAGCTGATTGACAAGCTGTAGTAGTACCCTTGCTATTTTCCTTCCTTCAATCCCTTGTGTTACCCAAGTAATCACTTTGAGAGTTCCTGATCCGGAGACGTGACTTATTGGATTGGACAGAAGAAAATGTTGGTACAATTGAGGGTGCTGCTGAAAAAGAGGTGTACTTTCTCCTGCTGTTTCTTGTTCATTTGTCCACCGCTTTCTGTGTCACATGAAGGGTATTCTGACATTACCTGGTACCTGGATACAAGTAATCCATGCAGGTATTAAAAATTACCATCCACAACTGTCTGCTGAAAAAGAGAGTGTTCTGCTCACATGTCCTCCTGCATTCTTTCCAACTGGCTTTGATCACAGTTTTCATTCTATTTTTTCCTGTGGTTATTCTATGTCAGCATACATCTTCATCCCTGTCTTCACTCACGAATTTCTTTTCTTTTTTTCTTGACACAGTAGCACAGCAAATATTAAAACACAAAATACGCCTCCAAAACATTGGGTTGTGGCCAACTTGGTTATACTCAGAGTACGCTCATTGAAATCACTGGACTTAATTAACCGAGCCCATTCATTTTAATGGGTCTGTCCTAAGTATAATGTAACTCGATGCAACTCATACATTCTTAATCATATCTGGGAATAATCAGGGCTTTTTTCCAGCCGAAACTCACCAGAACTCAGTTCTGACATCTCTCAAGTGGGCATCATT